TGCATGGTGTTCAGCCCAGAATTGCTCCTGGACCCTGGCCACTGCCTCTCCCCACACTCTGCCCCTCTCCAGGCCTCTGCCTCTTCTTGCCAGCAGGGCAGCACCTGCCCAGGGTTCAGCCCACCCAATCCACTTCCCAGCTCTTCCCCACCTGAGGGCACTGACTCCCTCCCCTCCCCTGTCTGGTCCTTTCCATGGACTTTCAGAGTGGTCTGGCCTCTAGCACCTCGCCACCCTGCTGCAGTTATCAGCCTGGTGTCTTAGGGAAGGTTGGGCCAGATGATGTGTCCATCCACTTTACCTACAGTGTGCACCTAAGGCATTCTCCAGGACTTCTTGTCCAGACCCCTCTTTGTGGTGCTACCCACTTGTCACAAGGAAGAGTGTCATCCTCTGCAGTGGCCCCAGGCTGAGGCCCCTCCATCAGCCTCAAGCCTGGGGCAGGGCTTTGCCTGGGTGAGAGTATGTGGCCAGGGCAGTAAGCAGGGTATACTGGGGCCCTGGCAGCTCGAGGGGGTCAAGTGGCTCACAGGGATTTCCTGGTGAGGCTGCCCTCCTTGTGAGTCCCTGGCCTGGCAGCAGGGGTGCAGCCAGTGGTACAGCTGCACCAGGGCAGGGCACTTGAGGAGGGGGCTCCTAGGAAAGTAGTGCAGGTGGCTGCCAAGGAGCCTGGGAGGTGGCTTCTTGCACTCTCCCCATTTTCTTTGGAGTCTTCTTATTGTATTTTTTATTTATTTATTTTTTTTTAAAGAGAGAGTGAGGGGGGGGGAATTTTTAATATTTATTTCTTAGTTCTCGGCGGACACAACATCTTTGTTGGTATGTGGTGCTGAGGATCGAACCCGGGCTGCACGCGTGCCAGGCGAGCACGCTACCGCTTGAGCCACATCCCCAGCCCCTTATTGTATTTTTTAAAAAGGGAAATTATAAACTCTTGCAGTGAGGCCAGCCCTAGCCACACCCTGCTGCCTGGGCTGGTGTTCAAGGTGAACCTAAGCAGGTGCTGCTGACCACAGAGTGCCTGGGGAGGGGGCCAGGGCCGAGTCCATCCTGATGTGCGTAGTGGAGCCCCCACCAGTGGCCAAGCCATGAATGCAGACAGTGACAGGCACTTCCCTTGCCTCGCTAGTGTGGTATGGACCAGTCTTGAAATCCCAGAGCTCTGTGGCCCTCAAGGAGCCCAGACTCCCTGAAGAAAGCCACAGCAGAGGGGGCAGACAGCCGGAGGGAGGAGACCTCCTGAGGTCCAGGCAGGTCCACCAGAGTTCCGGAGACCCACCAGAGCCTGGGGGCAGAGCCACCAGGATGTCCTGGAAGCTCCTGTTTAGGACCACATCTTTAATCTCAGCAACCAGCAAAGAGAAAAGCAAGGCAGGGGCAGGCGAGGCTGAAGTTTCTTAAGCATTCAATTCATCAAACAAGCCAGAAAAATTCAGAGATGGAAAGCCAGGCTGGAGGCCACTGTGTGCCTTCTCCGCGGGAAGCAGCTATTCCTCTCTGCTCATTCCCTTTCTCTCCATGTCTTCTGATGGAGGCTCTAACATGATTCCCACGCCACATGAAGCTAGTGTTCGGGAGTGTCTTGGTCCATCTGTGCTGCTATGACAGAATGTCTGAGACTGGGTTATTTATAAAGAACAGAAAGCCATTTATGTTGTGGAGGCAGCAGAGCCGCCCCTCTCCATCTCCCTGGGGGCACTAGTCTCAGGATCCCTTCCAGGGTCTTGCCCTGCAGGGCCTCTACTCCCACACAGCTCTCGCTGCTCAGCCCTGTCCCTCTTCTGCAATCCAGCCCCAGGCATCAATGGCCTGTTGTCCTCTCACATGTCCTTGGGTGCCTCAATTTGGGTGTGTTCAAAGCTGAACTCTGCCCCCAGCTTGTCCTCAGTCCTCCCAGCCTCCTGGGAGTCCATAGCCAGAATCTAACCCTTTCCCTCCCCAGCTCTGGGCCACACTGTGGCTGCTTCACCTGTTGCCTGCCCCCATCCTTCCCCAGGTGGCAGTACCAGGGGATGGGTGTTGGAACCCTAGGCACCTGCAGAGCACAGCAGAGTTGGACAAAGCACTACCCACCAGTCACCAGCAGTTGCCCCATGCCAGCTACTGGCCTTGCTAGCCCTGGGGACACGGAGAGCCAACACCACCCTTGCCAGCCAGGGAAGGCCTGCCTGATCCCCAGAACAGAGGCAGCCACTCAGTGCATGTCTGTGAGTGCTTGCTTCCCCATGTCTTGCCCTGCGGCTCCCCATAACTCAGACTTCTTTTGGGATCCTCTGGTCTGAGGAATGTCACTCCAACCAGGCTCCAGTCCTGGAATTTAGAGCCTAGATGTCACCTTCCATTCCACTGTTTAGAAGTGAACATGTGGCCCTAGCTGGTCCACTCAGTGTGACACTGGGGCCTAGTGAGGATGCTTGTACTTGGCCACTTTCTGCTGAATGTGAATGACAGCGCTTGCAGCCTCAGGAGCTGCTGGAAGCATTTTAGGACCTTAGGGTGAAGATGAGACTACAGACCACAGACACAGAAGATTTGTTCTCAGAAATATTGTTGAGCTACTGGATCAAGTCTCACCTGAGATCCAACTTTCCTCTCAACTTTTCATCACTTAGGTCATAAATTCCCTTGGTTGTTTAAGCAGTTTGGGGTTGGGTTTCTGTCCTAACAACTGGACTCAAGAAAAATTCCCATCTCAGATAGGCATGGAGGGGCTAAGGCATGGAGGGGCTAAGGCAGGGGAGTTCGCGAGTCCTTGCTGACATGGCTGGGACCTCAGCCACCAGGCCTGCCATCTGAGGAGTTGGCCTAGCCTCAACACATTCTTAGCCACAGTGACCAAGTGTAATTCAGCACAGCTGCAGGCTCCCTGGGGGCTTGGATGGAAGGGATTGTCCAGGGACTTGTCAAGCTGTGCTTGAATAGTGAAGCATGGCCTCTGGTCAGCGGGGCTGCAACCTCCCACGTCTTCCATTTCCTTCTGTCCTGGGCCCTGCTCCTCCCTGCACAACATGCAGGCAATGGCAGGGGTCATATGGGCTGGAGTCAGCCAAGCCCCTCTCCGCTCAGGTCAGGGGCTGGAATGTGGCAGCCTCTGGAGGCGCTTCTCTCCACAGGCAGGTGAAACTGTTCAGGGAAGACCTGGTGGTGGAAGATGATCAACAAAGAAAAAAATCAGGCAGAGAAAAACAGCCTTCTACGGGGATGGGGTATAAAATGACCAACGCCCCTCGAGGGAGTGAAAATCCACCCACGGTGGTGACTCATCCTGGCAGCATGCAGCAGAAGAGGCTGTAAGACACAGGCTTTCCCACACCAGGACATTTGGTACAATGCTGTGGGAACAATTTGTTGGAATCTACCACAATTCCATAATTCACCCAGAATTTCCACACCTAGAGGTTTGTATCATAGAAGCACTCACACAATTCCATCACGCTGAAAGGAAGAAGGAAGGAAGGAAGGCTGGAGGGAGGCCGGCCTGCATGAATGCAGGTCCAAACGGGGCCCGAGAGCTTGGCTGATACAGGCAGTGGCACTTCTGGAGAGCAGGTACATTCCTGCAGCAGGAAGATGCTCTAACCAGGAAGGAGTGTGGCTGGGGACCTTCAGAAGCTTCCAGACTGCAGCTTTCCTGGAGGTTCACTACAGTGGCAAGGCTAACCTGGGGCCCTGAAGTGGGAGCAGCCTGGCACCTTACCCATGCAATTCTGCCACCAGCCACAGGACTGCAGTAGCTCTTCAGCGCCTTGTTACGGCCTTGGCAGTTGTGCAATGTGGACACTGCAGGATAACCCTGGGTAGGCACCTGCCCTCAGCACACCCATACTGCAAGCGCACCCCACTAGCAGTCCACCCACTAATATACCTAACACAGCCAGGCCCTGTGCCCTGATTGGAGGTGTTCAGTGGTACAATCTACCCAATTTGCTAGTTTTAGAATTGGGCAAGCAAAGGGGAAAGGCTACAGTTGGATCCAATTAAGGCTGAACACTATTTTCTGAACGTGAACCACCAGACTTTCTATTTCTCCAGACTGTACACAGCACTACTTGCAGATTAGACCTCAATAACGATGTTCACTCTTGGTCACTTTGACGGCTACAAAGAGCAATGAAGGATGTGTACAATATAGAGAAGGGCATGGAGTAAAGATGAAACCCCCAATCCCTTGGAATCGACCTCCAGAGACCACCACTGTGACTGCTTGCAGGAGCTATGTTCATAGGGGTCTGATGTTCTTACCGCCTGCAGATAGGGAGCCTCAATCTCCAGGCAGCCTCCCTGCTGGGTTGTCCAGCCTCCAGCTGCGCCTGCGCCCACCTGCCGGCTCCCCAGGCCGCCCAACTGATAGGGAAAATGGAAAATGCCCGAAATAATGGCCTGAGAAAAGGGGAGTAAAAAGGAAAGCCATGCACTGACAGCTTTCAGAAAGCAAATGTTTTCCTGGCGCTAACTGCAGGCAGGAAGGAGGGGTCTCATCACACCAGGCGACAGCCTCTGAGGGACACTGACCGCCCTCGGAGCGAATCCTTTCCAGATGCGGAGCACAGACCCCTGACCTCAGAGCTCAAACTCCTAAGCACTCCAACTGACTCCTCCATGATTGATGGAAGGAAGCCCAAATTCCTGGGTGCCCAAGAAAACTGACATGCCCCCTTGGCCACCGCCCAGGATGACCCATTCAAGCCCAGGCCCTTCCTTCGTTCAGAGGCTCATTTTCCACCAGGAAAGTGGGTCCGTTCCCGTAGGTGGAACCCTGTCCTGAACAATGGCCGAAACGATCCGTGGCGTCTGCGTCCGGCCTGGCCTCCCGGTTCTAACACCAGCTAGGGCACCGACCCAAGCACCGAGACCGCGCCGCGCGGGGCCGAAAGCCACGCCCACGCGCACCGGAAGAAAGGTCGTCCCCATGGCGACTGGGCGGGCCGCGCTTCCGGGCTCCTGCTCGGAGACGGAAGTCCCGCCCCGTCGGTCTCCCGCGAGGCCTAGCGAAGCACGACGTAGCCGGAAGCTGCTGGCGGCCGGTGGGCGACCAGAGCGGCTGTGCGGCACAGCGGCCGGGCGCGACCCCGCCGGACCCCGGCYCGATCCCGGTCCTGCCCGCCTCACCAGGTAAGCGCGCGGCTGTGCGCCCGGGGCCCGCCCCGCCGTGCTTCCCGCATCCGGACCCGGACCCGCGCCCCGGAGCGCCCTCTTCCCCGGCGCAGACCCCGGGGCTCCGCGAGCCCTTTCGCGCGCCCTCCAGCATCGGCCTCAGGAAGGCCAGCCTCCCAGCCTCCGCCTGCTTTACCATTTTTCTCAGTTTCTGATGTGCACACTGCGTGGTGTTGGAGGGAAAGACGCAAGGACTGGCCCTGAAGCCTGGCTGGGTCTCCCTGGGTCTGGAGGAACTGCGTGGCTTAACCACAGGCCACCGATTCTGGGAAATAACTGCGTCTGCGGGCCCGATATGCCTGCAGGGCCTTTGACAGCGCCAAACGGGACCCTGACAGAACTGGGGCGGGGGTGTTTCTGGGACGTATCCCTGCCGAGGTCARGGCAGTAGTACATGCGCTTTACCAAGAAGGGCTGTTACTCTTAACCTGTATTCTTAGGGTGCCTCTGACCTAGGCTGTACCATCTGTCTCCTCCATCTCTCAGGATGGCTCCACTGAGAAAGATTCCTGTCTCCTTGTCACCCATTCCACAGCCTTGAGACTAAGCAATGTCTTTACATGTGTGTCTCTTTTGGTCTCAGAGGATAAGGGTGCCTCAATTCAAGGCTTGAATGTCCTGGCAAGTGGCTTAGAGGACTCAGAAAGTGTCCTTATTTACCTGAGCATTTACTGAAGTTAGTCCACTTAGAGACAGAGGGACATTTTTATCATTTTAGTTTCATGTGTTAAGACTTGGACTGTTTTTCAACATAAACCATGAGCATGCTTTTGAAAGTAGGAGGTATTTGTTTCCATGTTATTAAAGTAAGCATTTCAGTTAGAGAAATAAGGCCTTCATACCCCAAACTGGTCATGTCTCTACCTTCTCTCTCTGATAGTCCTACGAATGCCCTTCTTCCCAAGTTAGAAATTTGAAGCAGCCTCACCAGTCCTGACTTTGGTTTGCGTCTGTTGAGCAAGTCAAGAGCCCCTGAGGGCCCACAGTGCAGTGGAAAGAGTGAGGTTGAGAGCACATCTGTGTGGGTCTGCACATCTGTTGCCCCTGTACACCAGCCCCACGTGGAGCCTGCATGTGGTCATTAGAAGATTGTGTCCAAAGGGCTTTACAGCTGAAACCCACCAGGGGGTCTCTCCAGATGTGGGTTTCCCTGTGTCTGCCTCAGTGCTGCGGATGAGTCCGCGCTTAGCATGATGAATGCATTCAGGCACTCACTTCACAATCAGACACCACCCTGGCACAGAATTCTGAGTGGCAGGGAGCCTAGGGTGAACTTTTGGTTTCACTTCTATCAATTATAGAAAACAGTATTTTCTAACTTCAAATTGCTAAAAGTAGTCCTCATGAGTATTCGGAAGCAGGAGCTGATCCACTCAGAGGGTGGTGTTTTGAGGCAGAATCCCCTCCATGAAGGCCTTACTTCTGCAAACTTGAGATTAAAATGAAGTATGGAACAGGGGTCATACCAGTTGCTGCTTTTTTTAAGCTGTATCTCACATTAAACCCTTAATAGGAATACCAGTCCAAGCTGACACTTTCAGTGCAGCGGCAGAGTGGGAAGTAGATGGCACTGAAAATGTCAGCTGTGAGCCTGTGTGTGGCCTCTGCCATATACAGCGTGCCCTGTGTTTTCCACATGTGGTGTCCTGCGAGTTAGAGGGAGCGGCACAGGTTCTTTTGAGAGGTGGGTGAGAGTGATGGCACTCTCAGTTGAGGCTGGCAGGGAGGGAAGGCCTGAGGCCCAGGTCTTGCCTCCAGGCCTCCTATTTCTGGCGTGTGCAGGACCAGTGGGGTAATTTGCACCTCGTGCTGTGGTTGGCACCACTGCCTTCCTCCAGCTTTGGTATTCCTGGTCATGAGTTAAATGGGTCACCAATTGAAGTTGAACTTTGCTAAAGCTAGTAGATTTGTAAAGAAAGAAGTAGCTTTTCTCTTCAGCCTAAACCTTACTACTGTCCCCATCAGTGTCCCTGTGAGTCATGTGATAGGTTTGATACTCCATGGGCCATTGTCTTTGTCCTGCTGAGGCTATACCATCTGTCACCTCCTTCTCTCAGGATGGTTCCACAGAGGACCTACCCACATACCTTCCAGCAGGCTGGCCTTTTCACAGTATCAGTCAGGGACACCCCTTTGCCCATTGTCACAGGCTGGGAATCTCTCCATGCTGAGTTGCGTTGTGCTGAGCACCTGAGCTCCCTGTTGTATGGCTCTTTCAAGTAGGGAAATCAGAGTTAGCAACCATTCTGTGTGTTTTTGAAGGCCACCCTTGGCTATGAGGTCATCATTAAAAGAGGACTCTTTTTTTTTTTTTTTTTTTTGAGGTGCTGGGTATTGAACCCAGGCTCTTGGGCATCTGAGGCAAGCACTCTACCAACTGAGCTATATCCCCAGTTTCCGGGGACTGTTTTTTAATAGACTGTGAAGTCTGAGTGTTACACAGTAGTTAAGCAGAGTGGACAGCACCAGTGATCTCAGTGTCCCTAACCACTGTGGTGGTGGCCTGGAGGCATCACAGAGTGTGAAGAGTATCCTTCAGTGGATGGCCCTGCATGGCCAGCAGAGGCAGTGTTACCTCCCCTTCACAGCCGCTCAGCAAGAGTTCTTGTGGAGTTAACCTGAACCGTAGTATTTGAGCAGTTATTTCTTGTCTGTGAAGTAACAGCGACCCATGTGTAAGTCTGAGGTTTGTTTCCCTCCTCTGCAGCATCATGGCCAGCCCAAGGACCAGGAAAGTTCTTAAAGAAGTCAGGGCACAAGATGAGAACAACGTGAGTATATGCTGTTGGCAGCACTTTGGGTGGCTAGTGGCCCTCCTGGGTCACTTGTGGCTGTGGTCGTGCCCTTCTTGAAACAGCTGGCTGTCGGCGAAGCTGACCGGCATCATGAGGAGCCGCTGGCTAGTCCTGGTGCTCACCGTCAGCAGGGCTCGGGGCTCCTGCCACATTGCCCAGGTTGTGCTCAGGACATTCTGCTTTGCCTCCATCTGAATCTTTATCGTGTGGGAGGATCTTCCCTTACATCAGTTTTCAGCTGCCTTCAGCTTCGTTCTGACCCTGTGCCCTCTGGCCACCTGGAACAGCGCTGTTGGGCTTTGCAGTGACTAGCTGTCTCATGCAGGCCTTGCACATTTACCTGCCCTCCTTTGTGCCCCCTTGGGAGCGCCTGTTGGGTCTTTGGGGGTCCCCAGCCCTGGCCTAAGCTGCCTGGTGAGTTGTACATGGCCCCCTTTCAGGTTTGTTTTGAGTGCGGCGCATTTAACCCTCAGTGGGTCAGCGTGACCTATGGCATCTGGATCTGCCTGGAGTGCTCGGGGAGACACCGTGGGCTTGGGGTGCACCTCAGGTCAGTTCCACTCAGCCTCCACAGATCCTGCACCTAATTTAGTGTTCATGTTGGGGTGGGTGCCTGTCATCCAGAGTGCTGCCTGCCTAGGAAGCTTGGGAGCTTCTCCCCACCCTACCAGGTATGCCAGCTTGTCCAGTGCTGGCCTCCTGGCCTCTGTGTAGCTTCATCTGGTTTCTGTCTTGCTTCAGGAAGCACCCTTGTCCAGTTCACAGCCTGACCTTGGGTGGGGAGGATCCCATATCCTTGGGTGGTTGGTGATCAGACCGGCATCTGGTTTTTAGCTTTGTGCGCTCTGTTACTATGGACAAGTGGAAGGACATCGAGCTGGAGAAGATGAAGGCTGGCGGGAATGCCAAGTTCCGGGAGTTCCTGGAGTCGCAGAAGGATTACGACCCCTGCTGGTCCCTGCAGGACAAGTACAGCAGCAGAGCTGCCGCGCTCTTCAGGGATCAGGTACCGGCAGGCCCGGCTTGCATGCGCCCTGCTGTCTGGGCCGTGCCTCCGTTCGTGGCAGCTGGAGTGTGGCTCCATTGACTCCGGAGTTGGGCTTCTCCCATCAGTAGAGACGTACCTGTTGAGGCCAAGCACAGTCCAGGTGTAGGTGAGGACTTGTGGCCCTCACCCCATCCAGAGCAGGCTCTGCTGTCCCAAGGGAAGCAGATGGTAATTAACAGGAGAAAGGGAACCATGAGCGTAATTCCTCAAGTGTGTGTTGGCCACAGTGCCTCCGAGAGAAGCCATAGAACTTGTCTTTTGGGGCCAAAAGTGGGAGCCATGAGATCAGGGCTCTGCAGCACTGTAGCTCATCACAGCATGAGGCCTGGCCTTGGTGCTCACACGTAGCATACCAGCCTGAGCCACAGCTGCTGAAACCTTGGAGGGTCTGTAGAGTGTCTGCAGTAGCACAGGCCTGTGAGGTTGCACATGCTTGAGTGGGCACATACATACTCTGACATCTCATGTCCCTTCATTAGGTGGCCACGCTGGCTGAAGGCAGAGAGTGGTCTCTGGAGTCATCACCTGCCCAGAACTGGACCCCGCCTCAGCCCAAGATGCTGTCATCCACTGCCCACCGGTAGGAACTCCTCTGGCCTGCCAGTCAGGCCTCAGCACTGTTCTTAGCTCCACTGTGATCTTAGCCATTATGCAGGATCCCCATAGAACCTTGCTTACCTCTGTCATGAAAATGGCTCCAACTGCCAGCTCTTCCTAAAAGTCAGTGTGAAATGCATCTTTTTAAAACTGCCAAAGTAGCACAAGCTTCTAGAAGAAATTAATCTGGTAAAGATAAGCCTGCAGATAAGAGAGCATCTCCCCTGCCTCCAGTAGGCTGCATTCTCTCCCATGGGGGTCTTGTGTGGCCACATGAGCGGTGGCCTCCTGGGGGTGTGGACAGTTCTGTCCGCTTGAGGAGGGGTCCTGATAGCACAGGCCATTACAGGATGGCACATCCCACTACAGGAGCGTCCTGTGTGGAGGAGGAGGATGTGGGTGGCTGGGCCACGGAGGCTCCTCCCTGCAGAACCTAGGCAGAGGTCCTAGCACCCTGACAGCTGCACTTTGTTGCCTGGCCCTGGACCCTCCCTGCCCTTGCCAGCCAGCACAGGCCACTTTTGGCCTGACTCCAGGTGTGAAGGCCCTTCTCACATGACTAGGTGGTTCCAGCTGGTGTTGCTGGAGCAACCCTGACACTGCAGGCCTCTGCATGCCACTTCATTCAGCGCTGGCCATACTGACTCTTGCAGGGGGTGCAGTACCTGGGATTGAACTCAGGGGCACTCGGCCACTGAGCCACATCCCCAGCCCTATTTTGTATTTTATTTAGAGACAAGGTCTCATTGAGTTGCGTAGTGCCTCGCTTTTGCTGAAGCTGGCTTTGAACTTGTGATCCTCTTGCCTCAGCCTCCCAAGCCGCTGGGATTATAGGCGTGTGCCACTGCACCCAACCCTCACCAACTTTTCACTCTATTTCAGACCCTCTGGTCAGCCACAGAACGTGACAGCCTCTGCAGATAAGGCTTTTGAAGATTGGCTGAATGATGACCTCAGCTCCTGTCCAGGGTAAGACCTCTTAGGCTAGGGCATCTTAGTAGGCCACCTCTTGAGGGCTGAGTCTGAAGGGTTAGGGCTGCTTCCTTTGGGGTGGGCTAGGCCTGTGTTGGGTTGGAGCATCTGTGATGCAGGATCTTATTGTGGCAAGCCCTGGTCAGCCCAGGTTTGAATCAGGGATCATGAGGATAGAGAAAACCTAATATTTAGAAGAAAAAGATCTCTTTCTTCCTTGGAATCTGCCTGATATATGAATGAATTTTTAATTCCTGAGCTATCAGATTGTTGTTTTGATTCTTCTTCCTATAACCCTGGTATTGGGTTTGGGGACCCTCAGCTGATGTGGCAGGAGGGCTTTTGAAGGGTGTGGCTGGTGTGCCTGTTGCTGCGAGGCACAGCCTGTCCTGTATGGGAGTGGGACACCCTACAGGGGCCTGAGGTCTCTGCAATCCAGGAGCAGCAAGAGCCATGCCAGCAGCTGCTGCCTGTCTGTGCTTCACCCTCAGGGCTCAGGAGAATCGCTACGTGGGGTTCGGGAACACAGTGCCGCCTCAGAAGAAGGAAGATGATTTCCTCAACAATGCCATGTCATCCTTGTACTCGGTGAGGGTCCCAGCCCTGCAGAGCACCTGCCACAGGCAGGGTGGCCCTGGCATGGCAGTGTGGGCGGGCCTGGGATGACCTGCTGATTGGAGACCCTTCTCCTTCACCTTCAGCAAAGTATTCTTTTATAAAAACATGACTTAAATTATGCAGATCCCAAGTACAACAAAACATCTATTTCAAGGTACATTCCTTTGAAGAACCTCCATAGCTGTCCTCGCTCCAGGGAATACCCTGAGCCCTGTGCTGGCCACCTGTGCTGTGTGGGTTGGCTAGGAGGTGAGGTTCCTGGGCTGACAGTCTCGAGGCTGCGTGGGTGTTGGCAACCTGGGTGGCAGTGCTCAGCCTCCTAGTGTGTGGTCCTGCTTTCATGGCCCAGGAGTTCCAGGCCAGATATTCAGTGCACAACGTCCTGGGCTTGCTGCTAGTTTTGGAAATGTACTTTGTCACCATTCATTTTTCAAGGAAACTAGTTTTATTTTATTTTATTTATTTTTTTTTTTTTTATTTATTTTGAGTTCTCGGCGGACACAACACCTTTGCTTGTTTGTGGTGCTGAGGATCGAACCCGGGCCGCACGCATGCCAGGCGAGCGCACTACCACTTGAGCCACATCCCCAGCCAAGGAAACTAGTTTTAAAAAAATCATTTTTTTCATTACACACTGGTCTGCGATTTTAATACTAATGCCTCAGGGGTCTAGCCAGAGAGGGCTGTTCTGTGGCAGGTGGTGCATCCATTCCTGGGCACTGCCTGGGAAAAGATGACAGACCACATCGTTACAGTACATTAAGTAAATAAGTAAGGTGCCGGGAGGGCAGTGCCCTGTGTGAGATGGGTTAAAACCAAGAATCTGTTGTCTGGTGTCTGCCGGGGTCACCACTGACGGGCATAGGTGGCAGGCTGTGCTCTGTGCTGTCTGCTTTTGAATCATGCGTGTTTATTTAAAAAACAAATGGATTTCTCACTCAGAAGTTCTTGCAAGCTGTATCTTCCCCTCCAAGGAGCACCACTGCTGGGTCTCCAGAGGCCCTTCACAGCTCTGAGTCAGACCTGGCAGGTTGTCTGTCTGGGCACTGGCACTGAGGTCCTTCTCCCCTGCAGTGGCTACTAGTGCTTTCTGGGGAGGAATAGTAGATTTTAGCCTGAAGCCCGTTGTGGGTGTTTACAAAGACATACCCCTCTAGTATGTCACTTTGTCATTGGTTTCCCCTCTGCTGATGTCTCCCTGGGATGACAGCCGAATGCAGCTGTCTCAGGTGTGGAGGTCTTTGCCTGCTTTCCACCTGGAGCAGGGTAAGCTGGTGTTTTTGTTTTTTTTTTCATAGTTCTGGGGGTTGAATCAGGGTCCTCGTGCTCAGCCATTGAGCTACGCCTCCAGCCTGTAGCTTGATTCGATGACATGTTTTTTTTGTAAAGAGCTTTGATTTAGCTTGGAAGGCTTAGGAGAAAATAGCCTTGACTTACATGGAGGCCTGTGACCTCTGCCCACCCCTGTCTGCTCCTCTACAGGAGGCAGAGGGAGCAAGCAGAGTAACCGGCATGAACTGGGCACATGGGGCTTGGCGGCCCTGCCCTGTGGCAGGCTAGTTCCTGAGTCCTTTCATGGTGACCACTTGTGATGTGTGCTGGGTGCTGAGCACTGCAGCTGGGGCAGTGGTGCCATGGAAGCAGGCACCTCATTTTCTCCCCAGAGTAGGGATTGCAGAGGTGTTTGAGGTGCCCTCCCTGAGTCCTTCTGTGCAGAAACCCTTGCTGGATGGTCAGTGTGCTGTGCACAGGCTCTGAACCTGACGTGTTTTTTTGTTGTTTGTTTTTCTCAGGGCTGGAGCAGTTTTACTACGGGAGCCAGCAGGTTTGCTTCTGCCGCTAAGGAGGGTGTAAGTCACCTCAGGATGCATGCTGGCCACCACTGGCCTGGAGGCCCGGGAGATAGGTTCCTGGGACCTCTAACCGTGCACTGGGCCTCAGCTGAGAGCCTGGGCCCTGGCAACTGCAGATTGCCTGGGAGTCCTTACTGTAGTGGCAGGTGTCTCCTTGGCAGGGACCAGCTGCCTGCAGAAGTGAACTTGCCCTTGTGGTCCCCAGGCTCCGCTCTGTCCCAGCGAGTAGGTCATGGGTGCCTGTACCCCAGATTCTGCCTCCCAGTCTTCAGAGTCATACTGGATAGGTTAGGGTCTCCCTCTAGCCTCTGCTTGAATCAGGGGAAAAGCTGGGGACTTGGGCAAGACAACAGTGCTGTGTGGGAAGCATGCCGGGCCCCACAATGCCCTGGTCAGTGCTGAGGAAGGAGCAGCCTGAACTGCACAGGTACAGGGCCTCTGGGCATGGGGCTGCCCAGATAGCCATGGCTCCGAGAGGAACAGGGACAAAGGTGGCTTTGCCCACTGATCCAGAGCAGACAGGCCAGCAGCATTCACAACTGGAGCCTCTGGATCGGCTCACTGTTGCTTTGCCACGTGGCAGTTGCTGGCTCCTGCTGGGGTCTCCACTTCTTATTTCTAAAGAAGGGATGAAGCCAGGCAGGTCCAGGTGACTTCCAGCCTGGGTATCTGTGGCCAGGCTTTTTCTGCTTTCTTTAAGTGTCAGCAGTTGGGTGCTGGCCTATACATGCTGGGTCCCGAGCTGCCCCTCCATCAGGGCGGATGGGGCTAAGGTAGTGGGAAGGCCCATAGAAGACAGTTTGGTTGGCTGCTGACCTGGCTTCTGTGTTGGGAGGATGGAGCCACCTTGTGGCTCGCCCAGCCTGGCGTGGCCCAGGAACATGAGGGGCTGGCCTCTTTGCAGCTCTTTTGGGTACCTTGGAGCTGCTGCTGGGTCAGTGCTGGCAGTCTAGGTAGCCATCAGGAGCTGAGGCATGATGGTTAGGGTTCAGACTGTTGACTTAGAAGACCTGTCTTTGTTTTTCCTTTCAGGCTACAAAAATTGGATCCCAAGCAAGTCAGAAGGTAAAGAGTTTTGAGGTTTAAAACACTCTGATGGGAGACTGTGCCATCACATGTACTATCTGGAAGCTTTCTGGCCCTGTGCCTGGGTCCCAGGGATCGTGGCTCAGAGGGCCTCACGTCATCAGTGGGGTCACCTCAGTGTCTGCACAGTTCACCTGGGGACCAGAGGCTGCCTCTGCCAGGGACTGCCCAGTGTGTGGCTGTCCCTCAGGTTGCTGGCCCAGGGCTTAGCAATGCAGCCCCTGGGGGGCTTACCCCTCATTTCTTTTATCTTCATCGCCTGGCGTGGCCCCAGCAAGCCACAAGGTGCTCAGGGCTGTCCTCCACTGTGCTTTGGGCAGGATTTTAGGGTCTGCCCTTTGGCTATCACCAGGAGTCCAGTTCCCAGGAGGCCACTCTGGCCTGCAGCACTCGCTGCCTGAGGGCACTTCCTCCTCGGAGGGGTTCTTGCTGCACACCCTTAGCTGTGCCCACCAGGATCGTGTCCTCACTTTGTCCCAGAGCCTGTGTCAGGCTTCTGAGTCTCACTCCTGAATTCTGGAATGTGGTGAGTTTGGAGCAGAAAAGTGTCCATCAAGACCCTGGCACAGGCTGGTTCAAGGCCTGGGGACACCCTCCCAGGGCCACCATCAGAACAGTTCAGCCGAGGGTGTGCCCTCTGCTGCCTGGTGTGCTAAACACTGCTCCTCCCATCCGCTCTCTTCCTGCTCTCCTGTCTCCGTGCCGTCTGGGTCAAGTTTTGGGGCTACAAGCAGCAGCCTGAGCCGGTAAAGCCCCATATCTGCTGGTGCATGCCACCCACATCTGCTGGGAACCTGCTTCACTCTGCCCGCATTTGTCCCCTGCACTGTCCCCCTGTATGCTGCGCTTCTACCTCCCTGGGCTGGAGTCAGTCCACAGCTTCTCCTCCAGGGCCAGATCCTGTGCGCTGGATGGACCTGGGGGAGTCCCAGGAAATGAGGCTTGTTGTGGTTTTCATTAGGTTCAGTTAGCTCCACCCAAACCATCCCAGAAATCTCAATCTGCTGGGGAGGACCCTTCTGTGTGTGTAGTCATTCCCCCTAATGTCTTTTGTCTCTGCTTTTTCTGGCCTTGCCAGAAGGGGGAATTCATGCCACACCCCAGGCAGCTCTGTCTCCTAGAGGCCTGTCCTTCCTCAGTGGCTCTCCTCTGCTTCTGCCTGAACCTCCCCTCCTAGTGTGCCTCCAAGTCTGCTCCTAGGAGAGGAGGCAGGGCCCCGCAGGCAGCCTGCCAGTGCCAGCCCACTGTCCTCATGACGAGAGCATGGGCTCGAGGAGGTTGCTCCCATGGGCAAGCAGGCTGGGGCCTAGGGAACTCCCTTCCTCAGCAGTGTCTCCTGTCTGCTGTGACCCTGCCCCATGGGTACCCTCATCTGGCTGCCTTCCTCTCTGTTAGCAGAACTTGTGTTGGGCTGTGTGTTAGCCATGTGCCATGGCATGTGCTGCCGGGCTCAGGTTATGTCCTTTTCCACAGGCTTCGGAGCTAGGCCACAGCCTGAACGAGAACGTCCTCAAGCCTGCGCAGGAGAAGGTAGAGCAGCACCAAAGGCCAAGTGCTTATTGTCCCACCAGACCCTCTGTTGCTAGGGGATGTGGGCATGTGCTGGGGGCTGCAGACCACCTGTTCCTGAACCCGTGAGGCCCTGCTTCCACCTGTTCCTCTGGCCCAGCAGCCTCCTCCATCCCTCCTTGGGACCCCCCTTAGCTCAGTCAGTCCTGAGCCCACCTCCTGTCTGCCTCACACCCCAGTAGCCCAGCCATAGGCATGGACGAGCCTGTCCTCAGGCTTGAGTGTAAGGGTTGGCCCGCAGCCCACAGAGCAGCTGGGGCAGGAGACACCCCTCTGAGGAGTCCTTGTACTGATATGGTCCCAGGAAACCAAGGTGTTGGGGTTGTCTCCTTTGTGGGACTGTACATGATAGTCATCCCCGTGACAGATCCAGGGGTCTCACACTGGCAACCCGCACCCCCCTAAGTTTCTGTCCCCCCCCATGATGCCTTTTGATCTGTGCAGGTGAAAGAGGGAAGGATTTTTGATGATGTGTCCAGTGGGGTCTCTCAGTTGGCATCCAAGGTAGGACAGACCCACCTGGTGTGTGGGCATGGTGAAGCCAGTCTCCATATTCCAGGCCCTAGCATGGGCCCCACAGTGGGGGAGGAGGCCTGGTGCATTGTGCCTCACGAAACCATGAAGCACTGGCCATTATCTTCTGGTGCCCAAGGGCTTGCGGAATATGGAAACAGCTTGACTGATGGGGATTTGGCAGCCACTGACCTATTGCTTTTTCCCTTCCTATTACTGCCTCTGGCCTTTCCCTTGGTAAGTGCCAATGCCTGTCTCGAGCTATTGCCAGCCCCATAACTTCTATAGAGGCTGTGTGGGGTGTATGTGCAGTCTTGGTGCCCAACCTGGGGGCCCTGGGCTGGGGAAGCCACTGGGGACCTTCCATCCACCATGATTAAGGCTGAGCTAGCCAGCAGCTTTCACTCATGTCTCCTTTCTCCTCCCAAGTGTGGACTGTGAGCTGGTGAAGGCCATGGCTTTTCACTGTCCACACACGGTCCCATCTCCAACAGCAAATAGCTTGCTTAGGATGAACCGTGAGGAAGGTAGGGGATGGTGACACGTAGTGCATGCCTGTATTCCCGGTGATCCAGGAGGCTGAGGCAGGAGGATGGCAAGTTCAAGGCCAGCTGGCAATTAGAAAGACCCTGTCTAGAAAATAAATGAAAAGAGCTAGGGATGCAGTGAAGTGGAAACGTGCCTCTGGGTTCAGTCCCCAGTTCTGCAGAAAGTCAGCCAGCCAGCAGAAGTTTCCGCGTGGGGCCTGGGCACTGTGTGTTGCTGTGTGAGTAGTGTGGGTACGTGGCACCCTTATTTCTGAACTCTGTCAGGTCTTCCCAGTAGTGCACGTTTGCATTTGTGTCGGAGGACCCTGGAGCCACTGTGCTATGCAGAGAAGGGCCCTGGCTAGCCTTCCTCTCTGTCTTCCAGGTCCAGGGAGTTGGCAGTAAGGGGTGGCGAGACGTCACCACCTTCTTTTCTGGGAAGGCAGAAGACCCCTCTGACAGGTAGGTATGCCATGACCCCACCCAGGATCCTGTGTCTCACGGCACTGCCCTGGCCCCACTATTCATGGGCTTTCTGAGAGGCAATTAGCGTCCTGAGCCTAGGGACCTGCCTCTGCTAGGCGCTGTGTCCACAGGGCTCTGCTTTCAGTGCATCCTGATTCCCAGTGCCCCTGCTCATGGGCAGAAGCCACTTCTCTCCCTTCCCTGATTCACTGTTTGGTAAATAGCCTCCAGTTCTAGTGACTGACAAAGTGTGGGCTCTGGCAGCAAGAGCCTGAGTCCTCTGGTGGGTTCTGTGCCCATCCCCAGAGTGGCCCTCCCCCAGCCCACTTCCCTCTGCTCTACAGTGAGAGCAACACTCCCCCCCTGGTGGATGCTGCTGCAGCAAGCATGGCTAAGAAGTGCTTGGTGGGGCCGGCAGCCCCGTCTAGGCAGAGCACTGGGCTGGGGCCACCAAAGGCTCGAGTGTGGTGTTGCCATCTCTGTTGAGTTCCTCCTTCTCTCTATAAAGACCCCTGGAGGGCCACAGCTACCAAAACAGCCGTGGGGACACCTTCGCAAGTGGCACCATAGACCAGAGCTTCTGGGAGACCTTTGGGAGCACCGAGCCCCCCAAGGCCAAGTCCCCGAGCAGCGACAGCTGGACCTGCGCAGATGCCTCCACAGGGCGGAGGAGCTCGGACAGCTGGGATGTGTGGGGCTCGGGCTCCGCTTCGAACAAGAACAGCAACAGCGACGGATGGGAGAGCTGGGAGGGTGCTGGTGGTGAGGGCAGGGCCAAGGCCACCAAGAGGGCAGTGCCGTCTGTGGCAGCAGATGATGGCTGGGACAACCAGAACTGGTAGGGCCCTCAGCCCAGTTCCCAGCCCCACCAGGGCGACTGCTGTATTTGCACTTTGCCCTCATCCTAGTTCCTCCTTCCTCTTGACCCAAGAAACAGCAGCCACAGCACAAAGGTAGTGTCTCAGGCCAGACTTGTTGGTGCTGCAGGGGGGTGTACATGTGGGATCGCGCTCTCCAGGGCCACATGCCTGCTGTGCACACGCCCCTTGGGACTCCAGGACGGGGCAGCTTCTCAGGCTCATCAGACCTGGGGACCAGGTGTCTTTGAGAGCCAGGCTCACTGCTGCTGCTGGGGGCAGGCCCCAGGGCCACAGCCTTGCCCAGCACCATCAGGCTGTCCAGTCTGTGTGGAAGTGCTCTTTACCTTTAAAGAATTGAGCTGGTTCTTTTTTTTTTTTCCTTGAAGAAAATGCCTGGAGTTTCAGAGATGGACATGCCGAAGGCAGTACTGGAGCGTGTACTACTGCCCAGCCCCTGGCCTGGTCCACATCTCCTGTGGCCTTTGCTCTGAAGCTCATTGTTGGGACCTCTGGCCATCCTGTCAGCCCTTTCCAGCTCGATTTGCCAGAAAAGCCCTCCACAGACGGCTGCTTGAGGCTCAGTGGGCTCTGGCCTCAGCCCTTGAACTTTCCCATCCTGGAATACCCTGGATACATCAGAAATGAGCAGAGTAGGCTGGGGTAGCAGGCTCTGCAGGTTGGCCCCTGCCTATCCTGCTGTGAGGATCCTGCTGGGGGCTGGCAAGAGGGCAGGTAGGGCTCCAGGGCCTCCCTGGAGATCCTGCTCCCAGGAACAACTCTGGCCAGTGTTTTGTTGTTTGCTGTGTCCACCATGGTCAGCTCTTCCCTGTCCCAGGCACCTGGAGGGTCACTACACTGGTGGCTGCACCCATGGCTCTCCCTCCTATGTGCCCCGCCTTGCACAGTGGTACTGGGGTCTCACTGAACGCAGTGGAGCCCACCCAGGCCCTGAGCCTGTTGGACTGTGAAGCAAGTGCAGCGCAAGCTTGGGGACTGGAGGCACTAGTGCCCTGCAGACAAGACCCACCGTGGGTTGCTGCTGTGTGCCTGGCGGGAGGGCCACTGGGCCTCTCCTCATACCCCCACCCCACCCCTACTGACCCTCAGTTTTACCAGCAGTGCATGCACCTGGTGCTTCTTGTGTGGTTTGTGTGCGCTCTGCCGTGTCCTGCCACAGCTGTGCTTGTCACAGTGCTGGCAAGGCCACCAGGTCCTGGGTGTGTCCACCTTGAGGGTTTGTAGCTATCTGGGTCTGAGATGGGCCATCAATTTGGAGAGCCCTGCTAGGTAGGTATGTGGCTCTGTAGAGGGCCAGTCTCAGGACTTCCTGAGCCGTGTGTGTGTGTGTGTGTGTGTGTGTGTGTGTGTGTGTGTGTGTGTGTGTATCTCCACCACTTGTCACTGGGGGAGCAGCCTGCCTCAGCTGCCTGAGCTCTGGGCACAGCTTGCATCCCTGTCCCAAGGCCTATCCCCTGGTGGGAAGGGTGGAGTGCCCTGGTTCAGGGCCTGCAGTGTATACCAGCACTCCTTAGGAAATGGGCTATCTGCCCTGGGGTTGTTGGGAGTGCAAGATGGCACCTGCTGGCTGGTCCCCATTTAAGCTTGCTTCTAGGAAGCACTGAGGCCACTACCAAGACCCCTCCCAGGAGAGGTTAGACTGTTAGCTTTATGGAACTCCCTTTGGTGAGTCTGATCCCTCACCAAAGGGAGTTCCATAAAGCACATGGGAGCAGGACCCTGGTGAGCCCTAAAGGGTCGCTTCCTACATGGCTAAGGGTGGATGGGAACCTGATGGAGTGTAGTCCTAGAGGGGGCAGTGAGGCTGCCGCAGACTTCCCAGGAAGCAGATGTCCATGTCGTGGGCCTGTGCTGTTTATCCCAGATGCCTACTCTCACCCTAGGCACCAGCCTGACTAGTAGATCCCTCAAGGCCATTTCTTGAGTTCCTAATAATAGATTGGCATTCTGAGCAGCCACTGGACAGCCCTTCATCACACCCATTCAACTGTGTTGTCACCCCCAGCCCCAACTAACCTATGCTGGCAGGGCCCAGGTGCTGCCCAGCAGGAAGAAAAACCACCTGAAGATGGCTTGGTAGGATTGGCTTGAGAATGAAGAGGGGCAGCTGGAAGGAGGACTGGGCCTGCCCTGTTCCAACCAGCTGGCAGGAGGGTTGAGGGTCCATGGGAGCTTTTCCTGCAGGCCCTTGGGGTTACCCTACCCCCATTGGTGGGATAGAGGAAGAGGGGTCCCTGGCATGTGACCCCAGAGCTCACCTGACCAGTAAGGTCTGAAGGGCACTGTAGGAGCTTTGAGGGATCTCTGGGCAGGTCTGGGGATGAAAAGGCACAGGACTCCCCACATGAAGTCACATTGCTGTGAGCCAGAAGTGCTTGAGGTTGTTGGGCCATCTCTGCAGTCCCTGCTGAAGGCCTGGGGCTATTGGGCTGTCATGGAGACATGGGTGCTATTAGTGAGGTATCAGGGAAGCAGGCTGTCCTTCTGTAGTGGGCCAGTCACTGGCCAGGCAGCTGGGGGCTGGGTGTGACTCCCAAACCTCTCCTGGGGGAGGACAGCTATGGTTGAGCAGCCTACCCCAGCCCCCAAGATCTTGGCGACCCCATAATGGCTGTGACTACAGATATTAACCTCCCCCTGACTCCACAGAGTATCTTCAGGGACCTGGCCCAGGATGGATAGACTGAGTTCTTGTGGGGGATGGGGGTCCACTTACATACTGGTCACAGGCCGGCTTGCAAGGGAACTGTGAGCCATTGAGAGGTACTAGGAGGGCTTCACTGGGGGCAGTGTTCACCGGACCTGTGCAGAGTGGAGTGTTCTGGGGCACACAGGGAGGAGGGAAGGGAGTCGAGGCTGGGTGGTCTCTTCCCTGATGGCAGCTTGAGAGCTGTTCCAGCCTCTGCCCTTCAGATAAGCTGCCAGAGAGCCCTAACACCCAGCACCCAGTAGTTCAGTGCCCAGGGCTGCATGTGGTGGCCTCACCTGTGAGCTCCTCTTCAGGGGATGAGGAGTAAGGTGCTTGGCACTTGCTATCCCTGGTAGTTTCCCTGAATGTACACTGGGGTCCTTTGTGCTGGCACCACTGTCTCTTTGGATATGCCCCAGGCATCAGCACAGAGGAGGGTGGGGACTGGTGGTGGCAGGGCTTGAATATGGGGGGCGGGGCCTTTCATAAGCCCTGTCCTAACTGTGGCCACAGCAGGACCAGAATGGATCAGAAGGCCCTGGGGAGTGAGGGACGCCGTGCTTGGAGCAGGAGGAGGTTGGTGACTTGCCTGCAGTCCTCAGCTGGGTGGACAGGGGAACCACTCAGGTCTGTGAGGGTGCCCTTGACCTTTCAGGAAGATTGGGATAGGAGATGAGCTCTTCGGTGGGCAGCAGGACCAGGGTGCAGCCTGAAGACTTGGGCTATCCTGAGCTCTCACTGACCCTTCTCACAGGGAAGGTGATACCCAGCAGAAAGGGTGGGGAGGTTTCAGACTCAGGTGGAGTTCAGGGGCTTAGGGGTGCTGGGGCCTGTCCTGCTGGATCCTTTGTGGCCAGATAGGACCCAGCCCATAGCTGCCTCTCCTCCAGGCTACTGGTGCCAGGGTCTCCTTATGTTGCTTGCTTAGTACTGGCTTGGCACCCCAGACTTGGTGCAATTCCCAGGAAGGGGATGTGTGGCTAGCAGCCTTTCCACAGGCAGGGTCTTTCCTTGGGGGTGGGGGGATGTTGCTTGGTGGGGATACCCCTGAGCACAAGCTGGGAGAGGTTGCAGTGGGTGGTCTGCTGCTCAGCTGGATGGGGTTGGAGGGTCTGGGTCAGTCAGGACTTGGAGGAGGACCCTGGCCCCACCATGGAGGCTGTGGGCTGTGCTGTCATCTGCCCTCTGCTCAGCACAAAGGATCGGGGCCTCATCTGTGAGCAGTGCTTTCCTCTTCCCTAAGCCTGGAGTCAGTGTGCTGGTCAGGGCCCTCATCCCAGCCAGCCAACATGGGTCTGTCAACCAGCCCTGGGGACAGGTCGCCTCAGCTCACATGTCCCAGACCAGGTTGTTTTTGTGCCCTGGCCCCTCCCTACCCCTGTAGCAGTCCCTAGGTCACCCTGGCCTTCTCAACTGTCAGCCCTCTGGGTACCCTGTCTGACTTTGGTTCCCAGGCCCTCCACATTCACACAGGCCTGGCAGGTGCTGTCCCAGAAGCACCTGCTGCTGTTCTCATTCACCTCCTAATGTCTCAAATAGATACCCCTTCTGCTTTGAGGCTGGGCCTGGCAGAGGCCCTCCATGTGTCCAGTGATCAGACGATATCCCCAGTCTGAGGACCCCCACAAGCAGCAGTCCATAGCCACCATAAGTTCGGGGCGAGGGGCAGCTGGGGGATTCAAGGTCCTGTCAGTCCCCTAGCTGTATGCGTCCACTGTGGTGTGAACACCAGGAGCAAGATGGGAAGGCCCCGAGTGCAGCCTCAGCTTTGGGTGGCAGCAGGGAACAGCATCCAAAGGTCACTGGCCTCTGGGCCCCAGAAGGGTTTGTGGGACCTGTCCGCGTGGTTCACAGAGGCATGGAGGCCAGATTCTGGCTGTGTGGTCAGTGGGGACTGACGGGTGGGTGGAGGTGAAGAATCAAAGCTTCTCCTCCCACAGGCTGTGCACCATGAGCCCCCGAGCCCACCTCCACATCTGCCTCTGGCTGTGGCTGGGTACCACCTTGGCACATGGGCTGGGACAAGGTAAGGGGGGTCCTGGGGACAGTCCCCACCCCTGCAGGACAAGTCCTCTGTGGCGGGCTCTTGGCTTCCTTCCGGCAAGTGTTCTCAGGGTCAAGACTCCTCAGTTAAGAGGCAGTGACGGCAGAGCAGGCAGGCGGAGGGGACTCACTCCCGTGAGTCTCACCTCAGCGTCACAATGGCCTGCAGTCTCCCCCGGCCTTGGGGTGCTTTTGTGTTTTCTGTTTCTCTTTTCATCCCTTCCTCTCTGCAGTTGTTCATTCTCTGTCACATTCCTGTTTTGCTTAGCTATGTTGTGACTGCCTTTCAGCATGGTTTCCAGACAGCACACATCTTGATAAGGGGCCCCTGCCTCTCCTGCACTGTCCTCTGAGGTCTCTGGGTGGGGCAGGGACACCTCCACTTGGCCCTTGCCACCTGTCTGCTGTCAGCTTCTCAGTGTTGACCCCCTGGGGAATAGCACATGGGCCTGGGGAAGGTGTGTGCTGGAGGTGCCTCCCTGGGAAAAGTCCTGGCCCAGTGGGTTTTGGGAGGCGAGTTTCTGTCAACAGAACCACTGTAACTCAGTTCATGCGGGGACCTTGCTTCCCTGGCGGGGTGGAAGAGACCCTCTGAGGCAGTCCAGGCTCTACGAACTGCTGTTCTCATTCTTGATGGCCCCTTGTCCCTGTCTGCATCTGCAGGTTCTGGGTCAACCTCAACATCTGGCCCCACTTCCCACCTGCCCACCATGGAGCCATGGGGCAACTCGAACCCAGGTCTGGTCTGGGGCCCTTCCGGTTTCTGGTTTCCCAGCCAGTACTCTCTGGTGGGGAGGCACCTGGACTGACCTTAGCTCCTCCTGCTCAGAATAATCCAAAGAGATAAATCTTGGACAGGGACCGTGATTTCAGTTAGAAAGGAGCCTCCCTTGTCAGTTCGAGCCAAGTCACAAAGCAGTTCTACCAAGACAATGTGCTCAGGTGAAGGCAGGGACGTCACCCTGTCTAGTGCAGGTTCTCCCAGGGTGGAAGCTTGGGCAGGCCCCCAACATGTCAGAGGCRGAGTGGAGGAACAAAAGGCTCTTCATGGGCAAGAGTGGGGCTCTGCCCACAGCTGGCACTTCAGAGCCCCCTCCTCATCCCCACACATCCTGCCTTTCAGCAGGATGCTTCCCGGGCATCCAGGACCCTTTGGACCCCTCTAGAGACCAGCTCAGCTGCTTCCTGTTCTGAATGGGTTATTGTGTCTGCTGGGTGTCCCCTGCCTGGCCCATGCACTCCAGTTCCCAGTGTGGCAGCCAGAAGAGGCCCATCTCTGTCCCCAGTTTCCAAAAATAGCTGTTCACTCCCTAGAGCCCAGAAGTTCCCTGGGAGGTCAGCTCCGGCCCACACTGCCCCTCTTGTTCCCACCAGTCATGGGCACCCCTCTTGCCCAGCAGGAGTCATTCTCTAGCATGGGGCTGAGGCTGCACGTGCGTGTGCATGCACAGACACACACCACTGTGCACACACGCAGCCATCATGTGCACACACATTTGGGTGGGGACTCTGCACCCAGAGTACCCCCAAGGAATGAGTCAACCTGGTAGTGACCTTGACAACTCTAGGGAGTCTGCAGGCACAGCTGCTTCTCCTGAGACTGATTGGCAACTGGGAAACCCCAGGCTGCCACCATGCCCTGGGGGCTGGCACCTCTGTCACCAAGCGGTTGCTGCCCTCCTCGGCACAACCTCAGGGGTCAGAGGCACCCCAGGGCAGGATTTTATTTCCTCTCACAGAAGCTGCCAGTGCAGTCCTGTTGCTGAGGACCACAGGAGGGCTGGTTCTCAGCCCCCAGGCAGGCAATTCCCTATGAGCTCCCCAGGGGACAAGGCCTCAGATGCCCAGGGGACACCGTGTCCCTCCAGAGCCCCCAAGATGGGACAGTGCCCCTCAGATCTCAAGGCAGGTCCTCCTCACTCTCCTCACAGCTGGGCACAGTGGAGGAGGAGGTTGGCTGGGCACCGGTGTCAGTGCTGACCTCCCCCTCCTGTCTCCGCAGTGAGCGGCCACCTAAGGCTAACTGTGCTGCCTGAGGACCGGCTGCAAATGAAGTGGAGAGAGTCAGTGGGGAGTGGCCTGGGCTACCTGGTGCAGGTGAAGCCCATGGCAGGTAAGGGGTCTGTACCTCTCTCCTCCTTGATTCCTTCCCTGTGTTGGGTGTCAGCATGGTGGTCACTGTCTTGTGCAGGCCAGCAGCTCCCCTCCATTCCTGAGCCTCACCCCTGTATGGTGGGCCATGATCCCCAATGCAGTCCCTATGGTTTCTGTGTTCTTTTCCTCTCTCCCTTGAGGACACGTACACCTCTGTGTCCCATCCGCATCCTTGGCACACAGCACACAGAAGGTGCTCAGAATACACATACTGAGCAGGGACTATTTCCTCAAAATGAGCCTCGGGGCCTTGGGGGGCTTTCAGAATGGCCTGGACTCTGCGTGCCAACAAGTATGTGGGCTGAATAAGAGCAGAGTGCCTGGCCCAAGTGTCCACTCTAGTGATAGAGCTGGGACCACGATGATGCCTAAAGGGCCAGTGCAGGCTCAGACCACAGGACACCCAGCCCAACAACCCTTAGGTCAGTGTTCTTCATCCTCATTCTATATTGCTGAGTTGATTTGCAGATATCTTGCTTAAAGGTTTTTTTTTTTTCAGTATTAGGGATTGAATTTAGGGGTGTTCTACCACTGAGCTGCAACCCTATCCCTTTTAATTTTTTATTTTGAAACAAGGTCTTACTAAGTTACTGAGGCTAGCCTGGAACTTGGATCCACCGGCTTCAGCTGCTGGGATGAGTGTACCACCGTGCCCAGCTTGCAGCTACATTTTGATATGTAAAATTGTCATTATTCAATTTAAGATATCTACTAATTTTTATTGTGACAATTTATTTGACCCATAAGGTACTTACAAGTAAATTTCTTGGTTTTAAAACAGGAGGGATTTTCTACCTACATTTTGTTCTGAATTTCTTTCTTAATTGTGTGTGGTTAGACATGCTTGATGTGATTTTAATGTGTTGGAAGGTACCTTGTTCTATGGCCTCCATATGGTCAATTTTGGTTAATGTCCCATTTGACTTTGAAAGTACATGCAGTTTGCAGATGCTGGGTAACACTTTCCAGTGCTCACATTAAGCCCATCTATTTATTTCATGTTTCAAGCTTCTTGTGTCATTACTGATTTTGTGTCCATTTATCTGGTTCGTCAGTGAGAAGCATTTTGTGTCTGCACTGTGGCTGTGGGCATGTCCCCCACATTCTTGTTTCACATGCAGAGGCCTGGTCTGGTGCAACATGACCAGGACCTACACGTCTCCTGGCAGACAGGACCTGTCCACTGTGGAGGGCCCCTTATGGAGCTGTGTTCCACCCTATTCCTGCTTTTGTCTGTCAGTCTGCTGCAGCAGGTAGTGTTCACATTAAGGATCCTTTCTAGTTCTTTCACTCTTGACCTCTCTTCTAAGTGGCATATGTAGGGCGTTATCTTCATCCAGTGCAACAATTTTTGCCTCTTAATTGATAAAATTTAACAATTTATGTTTAGTGAAATTATTGATTTGAGTTTAAACCTACCATTTTCCTATTTGTTTCCTTTTTATTATTCTCATTGTCAATTTTATTCTCCTTTCTTGACTTCTGAGCTGATATTTTCATGGAAAAATCTGAACACACTCATAAGGAAGTGTAGCACAATGAAGCCCCTATTCTGAGACTCAGCTTCCAGTTAGCAATATGCAGCCACTGTCACTTCACTTTGGCCCTCAACTCCCTCCATACACTGGTATCTTAAAGTAAATCCTAGAAGTCATGTAATTTTGTCTCTCAAAATTTCAGTATGGGGCTGGGGATGTGGCTCAAGCGGTGGTGCGCTCGCCTGGCATGCGTGCGGTCCGGGTTCGATCCTCAGCACCACATACCAACAAAGATGTTGTGTCCGCCGAGAACTGAAAAATAAGTATTAAAAAAATTCTCTCTCTCTCTCTCTCTCCTCTCTCACTCTCTCTTTAAAAAAAAAAAAAATTTTCAGTATGTCCTGTAAAAGAACAGGCTTGAAAACAGCCCACTACCCTTCAAATGACCCCACTGTATTACTGCTTCAGAATTGTTAAACATTTAGTTTGTTTAAATTTTCTAACCTAATTTTCTAGCCTTTACAGTTGACTTGTCTAAATTGGGACCCCTAAGAATCCACACATCTTGTTGGGCTCCTACGTCTCAAGTAACTTCTCATCTGCATAGTTCACCTCTTGCTCTTTCCTTGACACTTATTTGTAGAAGAAACAAGATGCGGGGTTCTTGTTCTGTAGAGGCGTCCCTGTGATGCTGTCTCCTGTGGCCTGGAAGTTGGTCCCTAGATTACAGTTTGAGAACATTTGCTGACAAGAGTCTTTGGCGGTAGTGCTGGGCCACCAACAATGGCTGCTGACTGTGTGTGTGTGAAGTTAAGATTAGTCAATAGGGGTGGGACGTGGACAGGTGTCCCCTCAGCCTAGAAGTTACCTGTTAATTTACCCTGCTGGTGGCCACCTGGGAAACCCCAGCCATTATGTCCACTGCAGCTGTGGCCTTTCTCCAGGGGTGCGAGAGCCTCAGAGCAGCATTCCCATGCACCCTCCACACCCCGTAGCTCTGTACCGATGTCAAATCTCAGGCATCCCAGTTGTAGGCTGTTGCACACTGCTGCTGGTTGGCTTGTGTCCAGTCCCTTTCTGCTGTGACAGCATATGTAGGCAATGGGAGCTTATGTGGCTCACGGCCCTGGAGGTTGGGAGCCCAAGAACATGGTGTGGTCATCTGGAGGGCCTGGCGCTACCATGACATGGTGGAGGGGACAAGAATGAAAGGAAACATTACTGGTTAAATCTTCCCACTTATCAGGAAACCACTTCCACAAAATAGGCAGTGCCCTGTGACACTTACCATGGCAATCAATGTCACATGAGGTTAAGGGCGCTGGACCATCACAGGTCAAAGGTGTGCATTCCTGGGTTTAAGTCCTGTTCTGCACTGAGTAGCTGTGGTGGACCCTGTTGCCTTAGATCCCCCTCTGCAAGATGGGCGTGGTGAGGTTGTGAGGCCCCCACGATTTGATCCCCCTGAAGTGCTTGGGCTGGGGCCAGGAACACAGCAAGTGCTCAATAAAGGCTAGTGGCTGACAGCGGGAACCTGCCCCCTTTGTTTCTGCCTACCCCCACACTTCATGCCACCGTGACACTCAGCCAAGAGTGAGCCTGGTGTCCTCGTGTCTCACTGCGTCCCTCCCCAGGTGTGTGTGGCCCCCTTCTCCTCCTCCCGTCCTGGCACTGGGGCCAGAGGCTCTGTGCGCTTCTGCAGGCTGGATGCCATCTCCCAGCCTGCCCTGGCCATGAGTTCTGGCTCCGCCCCTCTGAGGGGGGACAGGGTCCTCTTGGGTCCCGCCTTTGTTTTCCATGTTTGATTGCAGCTGTCCTCAGAAGAGGGGCCTCAGAGCAGGGCATATGACATTCGTCCCAGGACGGCTTCCTCAGGTTCTCTCCACTGCCACAGAGGGCTTCACACCGGAGGAAGTCCCTCCTGTCACACCCACACCTTCCTCTCTCCCCTGGCCTCCAGGGAGGAACTGGGGGGCGGCCTCGAGGCTTCTTGTCCCACGTGCACACAGGTGTGCATTTGCACATGCATGTAAGCACACACATGCACACCACCTTGGTGGTCTCAACGGCTCTCCCACTCCCACTGCAGGGGACTCGGAGCAGGAAGTGATGTTAACTACCAAGATCCCCAAGGCCACTGTGGGGGGCCTGAGCCCCACCAAGGGCTACACCTTGCAGATCTTCAAGCTCACTGGCTCTGGGCCTGTCCTGCTGGTACGGAGGGAGTTTGTGAGTAAGTCCACTGTCCTGCCCTGGATCCCAGTCTGGGGCGGACATGGATGCCAGGGTTCTGGGCTGAGAGGTGAGGCCTGGGTTGGTACCCTGGCTCACTCCATGAGGTGCCTCTGGGTCTTGGTTCCTGCTCCTGATGTCTCTGCCCAGCCCCGGGGCCAGAGGGTGGTTTGTGGAGCCCACAGTGTGCTCTCCTGGGAAGAGTGTGTGTGCAGGCCCTCAGCTCTCAGCCTCAAGGGTGGTGTCCTGACAGCCCCTCATCTCCCTGCAGTTGAAGACCTGAAGAGTAACTCCCTGGGCAAGAGCAGCCAGAGGCCACCAGGGGCAGCTCTGGAGCCCACCCCTTCCCACAGGGGAGCCCCAGATCCTGAGCAGGCCTCTGATTCCAGAGTCACCTTCACCCCAAGCCAAGACCCTCCCATTCTCGGTGTGTCAAAGTGGAGTGAGAGTGAGCTGCTGGGGAGGAAGGGAGAAACCTGGGGCATCTCCTGTTTCTCACCATGTAGCCAGGAAGTTCTTCCCGATGTCTGACAGAGCACTCTCCAGCTTTAACTTCAGCTTGTCTGTCGTGCTCCTAGCTTCTCTCAAACCCAGGCATTGGGGGCAGAGGTAGCGGATCCCTTGGGAGCCCCTAGGTCTGGGAGGTGAAGGTGGCAGCTGATTCTCCACCCCCAGGAATACCCAGTGTGGGTCAGCAGCAGCTTGAGCAGCACTGGTCCTGGGGCCCTATGGCACAGGATCCTGCTCAACAGCCCCCAGACCTGGAGAGGCAGAGCCACTCTGTGGCCCCGGCCAGAAGGAGAGAGAAGCTAGGTAAGTGGGTGCTCTGTGGCATGGAGCAGGGCCGGATGGTAGGGTTGCCTCCAGGCTTGACCTGTTGATGGGTTCCTCAGAGGGAGGGGCTGCCCCTGCCCCTGGGCTTGGAGCTGAGGGAAGGGCTCTGTCACCCTTGGCACCACCCCTCTCAAGGGAGTTCTTGTGTCCAGGGCCCTGTGCCTCCACTGTGTGTTCCAGTGACTTGGAGCCTGTCGGACTACACCCCACCCACCAGGGCCCTAAGGGTGGGGTTGGGCCTCCCGCTTCACTGTGGTCTGATCCCCAGGGGTGGAGCACATCAACTATGCTGGGGGCCTCGTCCCTGGAGTCTGCCTGACTCGGGGCCCAGCCTGCCTGGCATGGTCCCTGCACAACTGTCAGGGAAACCACACAGGGGTTCCTTGTCTCCATGGAGCTGTGGGGCCTCCGGACAAGCCCCAGCTGGCCTCCTCTGGGCAGCAGCAGCACTGCCTCATTCTCAGGTGGCTGTGCCTAAGCTGTCTGTGGACTGACCCCCTCACCCCTCAGCAACCCATGGGCATCTGGGCCTGGGCAGATGCAGACATCTCAGCTGCAGGGAGGCAGGCTGCGTGGACACTAGTGGAGGGCAGACGCAGCCCCCAGAGCTCAGGCTACAGTCAGCTCTCCTTCTGGAGGGTTCAGAGGGGCTGAGAGCACTGACCAGCGTGTCCATGGGATTTTCTGTTCAGCAGTCCTCCAAGCCCTTGTCCCCTCAAGACCCAGCCAACCTCAGGGAAGGTGGTTCTGGGGTCTGCAGCCAGACCAAGAGCAGCTCAGGGGCCTCACCCAGCATCTCACCCCCTCCTGCCCCAGCTGGCCCTGAGTTCCGCTGCACTCCCCCCACACCCACTGACATGGTCTTCCTGGTGGACGGGTCCTGGAGTATTGGCCGTGGCCACTTCCAGCATGTCAAGAACTTCCTGGCCAGTGTCATTTCACCCTTTGAGATTGGGCCCGATAAAGTCCAAGTAGGTGGGTACTACCCTTCAGCCTGCCCCAGGGTCAGCCCTCACAAGGCCTTTCCAGTTGAGGGAAGCCCTAGCCTTCCAGGTTTGCCCACGGCCAGGCAGAGGCTCCCTGCTGGCTGAAGTCCGAGGTCTGTGCGGGTCACTCAGCCCACTCCCTGTGCCAAGCCCCCTGCTCCAACTGGGGCTGCTAACCTCGTCTGCGGGATAGGCTGCCCCCAGCAGGCTAATCTGGGCCCTGCAAAACTGTATCCCCGGGGGACCCCAGGAGGCTGTGTGCAGAGCCGGCAACCTCAGGATGGGTCCTGGCCTGCATGGTCTGACCCCAAACAGCCCAACAGCCCCCTCCCTGCAGGCCTGACTCAATACAGTGGAGACCCCCAGACCGAGTGGGACCTGAACTCCTTCCGCAGCCGTGGGGAGGTGCTGGCAGCTGTGCGCGGCCTCCGCTACAAGGGAGGGAACACGTTCACAGGTACCACCTGGCCCCACGTCTGCTGGGTGGACCCTGAACCCTTGCTTGCCCTGTTGGTCCACCTCACACCCTGAAAACTTGTGAGAAGCTGGGGAAATACCTTCATGAAGGGCAGAAGCACTCTTTGTTTGTCTTTGGCAAAAACGTGGGCCTCTCTCCCACATCTTGCTGAAAGTGAGTGGCCCCTCTGACCTCACAGTTACTGCGGCACCCCTGCATGTGTCTAGCTGGACTTGGGCGCTGCCGTGCTGATCGTGAATGCCCTCCTGAAGAAGAGGAGCCTCCTGCTCCTGGGTGCCTCAGCCTGGTGGGGTTAGACTGCTGGGGGGGGCATGAGCTGAGAGCCTAGGAACAGCCAAGGCCAAGGGGCACCCGAGAGCCACTGACAGCCGGTAGCACCTGCCATTTATTCCTACTGCTCCCAAGGCCTTGCCCTGACCCATGTGCTGGGGCAGAACCTGAAACCTTCAGCTGGTCTCCGTCCAGAGGCAGCCAAAGTGGTGATTCTGGTGACGGATGGCAAGTCCCAGGATGATGTGCACACTGCTGCCCGCGTCCTCAAGGACCTGGACGTTGACGTCTTCGCTGTGGGTGAGCCCTGTGCAGCCTGGGCTGGAGTTCTCTCATAGCTAGAAGGCTCTGGAGAGCAGATGAGTCTGCACCCTGGCTTCACCCTCGTGGCTGTGGAACCAGGTGGGCCTGGCCTCGGGGCCTCACCTTCCACTGCTGAGTTGCCCAGGCAGTAAATCCCTGCTCTGGGATGTACACTGGAGCCAGCACCTGCACACTTAGGCACTGCCAGCACCCTACTAGGTTTTGTGCCGTGTCCACTGAGCAGCCTGCAAGCCCATCCTTCACCTGGCCAGCACCTCTGTGCCTGGCGACCCACCCACCTCCTGCCCTGGCTGCCACCAGGAGGGTCATGCCTCTGCACTCCCTGATACTCAACCCTGTCCTATGGGGAAGAAACTGTAGACTTGGGGGTCCTCCTGGGAACCCCTAGTCTCTCACTCATATGCGCTCCACCCAGCACCTATATGGCCAACCTGGCATGGGCTCAGGGTGAGGTTCAGCCTGGCCTTGGTCCTGTCTCTCACTGGGCCCCATGGGGTCCTAGGCATGTGGCCCCTCTGTAGTTCCATCAAGCTGGACGAGGAGCCAGCCAGGTGGCAACCTGCTTCCTTTGCCCCCGAGCAGGTGTGAAGAATGCTGATGAGGCAGAACTGAAGGTCCTGGCATCCCAGCCCCTGGACATCACTGTGCACAATGTGCTGGACTTCCCCCAGCTGGCCACCCTAGCTGGCCTGCTCAGCCGCCTCATTTGCCAGAAGGTGCAAGGCAGGAGCCTGAGCAGGGCCTCAGGTGAGGGGGTGGGGCCCTTCCAGGCCCTGCCAGCTGCTGTGGGCAGAGGGCCAGGGGGCCATGGCTCCCACGTGGTGCACCACAGCCTTGAGGGGCCTGAGCCCCCACTTGGGGCATCTGTTGTGGAGGGCCTGGGGGAGTGATCCTCCTGTCCCTCTTCAGTAGCCACCAGGGAAGCAGACAGAGCTGGCCACTTGGGCCCTGACCACCACCCTGCCCATCCACAGTCACTCCAGAAGATGCTCCGGCCCTGGAACCCCTCCCGGGGCCCAGCAGCCTGGTCCTGACCCAGATCACCTCCTCCAGCGTCCACGTGTCCTGGACTCCAGCCCCCCAGCTGCCCCTTGAGTATCTGATCGTGTGGCAGTCATCCAGGGGTGGCACCCCCCAAGAGGTGAGAGGGATCCTGGCCTCCCCCAGCCACGCGGAGCAGGGCAGCTGACGGGGTTCACGAGCCTCGGCTCAGGCAGGAATCTGATAAGGCTGAGCTGGAGTCAAGGCGGGAGCGGCCACGGCCTCCCTGGGCTTGGGAGCTGAGACAGGCTGGCCCTGCTCATGTGCACCACAGCGGAAGCTGCGAGCAGGGCCGTCGGGGGTGGCTGAGGACCCAGGGGTGTGGCTTTGATTGACAGGGGATGGGTTAAGTGATTGTCTTCTGCCCATGCTCCCTCAGAGCAGGCTGCTGCTCTGCTCCAGGCTGGGAACCCTGATTTGCAGGAAGGGAGACATCCACACCCCTGCCAGCAGTTTTCCTGCCCTGTGCCCTGTCCCTCCCTCTGTGCCCCATGCCGCCCAGTTCTGTTCTGTTTCAGCTGGTGATTGGAGGGCCCGCCTCATCTGTGCAGCTTTGCAACCTGACCTCCAGCTCCGAGTACCTGGTCTCTGTGCTCCCTGTCTACAAGGACAGGGTTGGCAAGGGCCTGCAGGGTCTGGTGACTACAGGTAGGTGGGGTGCATGTGGCCCCTTCTCTCCCTTTGGGGCTTGGCACCAGCAGGGAGGTGCGGTCGGCAAACCTGGGTCAGAACCATCCCTACAAGTCTCAGTCCCTGGGCCCCTCTACCCTGGTGTCCTCTTCTGAACACCAGGAGAGTCATTCATTCTGTTGCCACACCTCAGCCATTGCTACCCTGCTCACATTGTCCTCAGAGCCCCCACCCTGCCTGGCCACAGCACATGGCTAAGGTCACTAATTAGCAGCTCCAGCCCCCTCCAAAGGATTGCCAGGAGTGTCCCTTTAACAGTTCTACTGACAGAGGAGCCACATGCCACCAACATACCCAGTTAAAGCGGATGGTGCAGGGGCTGTCAGTGATCCAGAGATGGGCAGCTGTCACCACAGCTTCCCTCCCCACCTGCTCGGCCCCTTGCCCAGCCCTGCACCCTCTCTCTGCTCTGTGTCCTGTCATTCAGAGAAACAGCACCATACCACATACCCCGTGGCCTTTGGGAGGCCCCTGAAGCACTCTGGAGGCTGCACCCCCCCACCTTGGGGCAGATGGCCTTAGACCTGCGGGGAGGTCCAGCTCCCCAACAGCCACGAGCCCCCAGACTTGGCCTCAGTGAAGTTTGGAAAAGTGCTTAGACTCCTGGGCCCCACGATGTTGCCTACGAGGAACACCTAAAATTGGACTCAGAGAAGTCATTTTGTGGTTAGAGGAGGGCCCCCTTGACCGTGGGCATGATTTATGCACATGCCATGTTCCCAAAGTGCCCCTGACAGTCGCCTTTCCCCAGCACCCCTGCCTCCACCGCGGGCACTGACCCTGGTGACAGCAACACCCAGGATGCTCCACCTGGCCTGGCAGTCCTCTGCCGGGGCCACCCACTACCTGGTTCGATGCTTATCAGCCTCCCCAGGGGGCAAGGAGGAAGAGAAGGAGGTGCGCCTGGGGGCAGGGGAGGAGAAAGGTGGGGGGGCATCGGGGGCGGGGCTGGGCACAGGGACAGCATGTTCCCTTCCCCAGGTGCAGGTAGGGCGGCCTGAGGTGCTGTTGGACGGCCTGGAACCAGGCAGGGACTACCAGATCTTGGTGCAGAGCCTGCGAGGGCCAGAGGCCAGTGAGGCCCGGAGCATCCACATCAGGACCCGTGAGTGTCCCCTCTGGTTCCAGAGGCTTCCATGGTAGGAGCCCCAGACCTCTCTGTCCCCTCCCATCCTCACCTCAGGCACGGGGCAAGGGTGGCATGCCATCCCCTGAAGCCTGGCTGTGCTCTGCAGCTGCCCTGGCCCACCCAAGGCACCTGGGCTTCTCAGACGTGAGCCACGACTCAGCCCGTGTGTCCTGGGAGGGCACCCAGAGGCCCCTGCGCCTGGTCAGGGTCAGCTACATCTCCAGTGATGGTGGTCACTCAGGGCAGGTGAGAGGACCTGCCTGGGGCTCAAGTGTGGTGAGAGCTGCTGAGGGACCAGGGTGCACGTGCAGACCGTGGGGGGGCCCAGAACCCTCAGCCCCACCGTGGAGTCTCCCAGGCCTCTCCCTGCTTGGTGTGTCGCACCCACGACGGGCCAGTCCCCCACACCTGACCTGGGGGCTCATGTCTTTAGCCCCACTTGGCCACTGAGGGACTCCAGTGGGATCTGGGGGGACATGAGGTAGAGAATCAATACGGGTACATGCAGTGACACCATGGAGCAGCTGGGGGGGTCTATGGGGGGCTTCCTGGGTCTCTGGTGCACCCCATTTTCTGCATTTTGGGGCCACGGAGTAGTGGTGGCTGCAGGCCCCAGGCTTGGATCTCTGCCCTGCAAGGGGCTCTGGGTGCCCACTGGGCCTGCCCATGCCCCACAGACAGAGACTCCTGGGAATGCTACGTGGGCTGCTCTGGGACCCCTCTTCTCCTCCACCACCTACACTGTTCGTGTCACCTGCCTCTACCTTGGGGGAGGCTCCTCCACGCTGACTGGCCGTGTGACCACAGGTGAGTATCAGGAGGTCAGGTCTGGGGCCGAGAGGTGGATGGGCTGGTCCTGCTCTACTGGACCGTTCAAATCAACACACGTCCACTGAGCATCTCTTCTGGCCCAGAGCTGAGCCAGGTGGGGCAAGTGGCTGGAGAGGTGTGAGGGGAGGGTACAGTGGCCTGGGATACTCCTCTGTGTGTCCCTCTTGGCTCCTGGCCAGCACTCCAAGCTCAGCTGCTGCCTCACCTTCCAGGGAAAGCCCCCAGCCCAAGCCAGCTGTCGGTGACAGAGCTGCCAGGGGATGCAGTCAGGCTGGTGTGGGCAGCGGCAGCCTCATCGGGCGTACTGGTCTACCAGATCAAGTGGACACCCCTGGGAGAGGGACAGGCCCATGAGGTGCGGTAGGGAGGGCAGGCTGGCTGTTCAGAGGAGACCCTCCCACCCCAGGTGCTGAGGCCAAGCCCGGGCTTGGGCCCCGTGTGCCCACCCGAGTTCTGCATCCTGGGGACACCTCTCTGCCCGGGGCCTGGGATCCAGGCCCCCAGCGTGAGGTTCCCCATGAGCCGGTGAACACCCAGACTCTCATCTCTCCAGATCTCTGTCCCAGGAACCCTGAGCACAGCCGTCCTGCCTGACCTGGGGAAGCACACAGAGTACGAGATCACCATCCTGGCCTACTACAGGGACGGGGCCCACAGTGACCCTGTGTCCCTCCGCTACTCCCCCTGTAGGTAGTCCTCTCTCCATTTTTCTAGATTGGGGTAGGACCAACCCAAAGGAGAACCCAGACTCCCCTGAGACTTCAGACCCCAAACCACTGGCAGGCAGAGTCCACAAGTCCCTGACCCCTGGGCCTGACTGCTGGCAGTTATGGGGCTTCAGTGAGCTCCTGTGGAGGACAGGTGTTCCAGAGTTGACCAAGGGTCCAAATCACCAGGCATGGGTGGTAGCTCTGTGCTGGGACAGCAGGACCTGCTGTGGGGGCTGATGTCTGAGTGCCGCACTGGGAAGCCTAGGGCGGCACTGGGGGCGTGGTGCGGCGATGGGGGCGTGGTGCGGCGATGGGGGCGTGGTGCGGCGATGGGGGCGTGGTGCGGCGATGGGGGCGTGGTGCAGGTTGGGAAGCAGAGTGCCCAGTTCAGCACAGGTTAGGTCCCCTGCCTGCAGAGTGACCCCTTGTGGAGGGCCCTGAGCCCCACACTGCCTCTGCTGTTGCTAGCTGCAGCAAGCAGAAGTCCCCCCTCCAGCCTGGCTCTGTCCTCGGAGACTCCCAACAGCCTTCAGGTCAGCTGGACACCCCCAAGTGGCCATGTTCTCCACTACCGGCTCACCTACACGCCTGCCACAGGCTCCGGACCTGAGCAATCAGTAAGTCTGCGGAGAGCAGCAGCCACCCAATGAGGGACCTTCTAGGGTGGGGGAGGTCAGTGGGTGAAATGTGGCACACCCTGTGTGCTGAGGGTGGCCTCAGACAGAAAAAAGCCAAGCCTCATAGTGAGCTCCTCCAGGAGGAGCCCACTTAGGTGACTCCTGCCCCTCAGATCTCTGTGCCAGGGCCCAGGAGCCACACCGTGCTCTCTGACTTGCTAGCTGCCACCAAGTACAAGGTCCTGGTCTCAGCTGTCTACGGAGCAGGGGAGAGTGTGGCAGTGTCTGCCATGGGCTGGACAGGTAAGTGGGCACCAAGACCCCAGACCCAGACAGACCCAGATCTAGCCAGACCCCAGAAGGGAGATGGAGGTGACCTTGAGAAGCCATCTCATTCTAAAGTGATGACCTAATTTAGGTTAGAGCACAACAATCAGACGGAGCTCTGCAGGTCTTGCAGTCAGCGCTCCCACTCTGGCCTCACCTGCTGGTGCCGTCAGGACTGGCTGGTACTGGGGTGTCTGGGATGTGAAGGGGCAGAGTGAGCGGGATGCTGAGCACAAACATGAAGGAGGCCAGTTACATGAAGGAGCAGCCCGGGAGTCAGGGCTGACCTTGCCTTGAAGCATTTAGGACATGGACATGTCTCCACCAGGCCTGGAACCCCCCACCAGCATGGCCACGACCTAGCCAAGAAGAGTCCTTTCTTGCTATTATTTTGCACTGGTTTTCTTGGTCAGCTACAGCTGCCTGGAGCAGATGGCCCTCAATGGCCATGCAGTCCCTCACCTCAAATGCCCCCTGGCATCCCTGCAGGGTCATCTAGTTGTGGCTTGAATGCCCAAGGGGCAGAATCCTTATTACTCAGTGGACATGCTTCCTTCACCACACCTGCCCTGGAACTAGCCACAGAGTGACCTGTGTTCCTGAGTCTGATTGCCTCACACCCAACATCTCCTGGGCCTGCAGCTAGAGCCAGCACCCTCTCAGGGTGCTGCACCCAGAGAAGCCCTTAGCTTTGGCCCTGGGCCCTGCAGGGAGAGTGGAGCGCTTGCTCGCTCAGTGAGATCCAGAGGTGGCAGGACTACCCTGTCCCTTTCCTAGAGGGACGGGTACCACAGGCCTTCAGTGCAGTAAGGGGGCAGGCAGATGGAGATGCAGCACAGACTACCTGGGTCCACAAGAGAGATCAGGGTGTCACCATGCAGCAGCTGCTCCCTGGTGACTTGGTCAGGCTGAAGTGGCTCATGACCCTCTGTCTCCTTGCAGCAGCCTGCCCCACCCTCCACCCGGACAGCTCCCTCCCAGGTAGGTCCTGCACACCTGTGGCCAGTGCACTCTACCCTGCTTCTCTCAGGCTCTTCCTGAGGAGTGGGGATCGAGGGAGACCCACTGGAGACCCAACATAGGATTTCAGGTGCAGACTGCACCTTCTCGGATGGCCCCCTGCGGTTGGCAAGGCAGTTCCATTCCTGCTTCACAAGGGAGCAGAGGCTGGCCCAGGTCAGTGTCAGCTTGTGCAGGGCAGAAGCAAAGCTGAGTCTAGGTTTTTCTGGCCTCTGTGGAGCTTGATGCTGCATGGAAGCTGGGTTTCCAGGTGCCAAGCCTGAGGGGTCCTCATTCATGTTTCACGAGGGCTGAGGTCCTCCTCAGAGAGTAGATGCTTGGCTTCAGGAACGTGGCCAGGGAACTCTGCCCAGCAGGGAGATGGTGGCAGGCAGATGTGCTAAGCCATGTGAAGGCTGTGCGTCCACCTGGGGGGCAGGCTGTGGCTGCCCTGGGCCCACTGTTGGGCCTGCAGGGCCAGTGGATGGCAGGCAGGAGAGACTGTAACCTTGAAAGGGCTGAAGCCTCTGCTGGCCTCCTGCCTGGGGCTGCTAGTCAGCCAGGCACTGATTAGCGCCCAGCATAGGTGAGATTCACCCGATACTTCGTGTCCAAGAAGGACCAGCTGCATTTAGGACCTGCACAGGTTCCCATGACTCTGCTGACTCAGGGCATGGCCCAGCCCTGAAGGATCAGGGGCCTGGAGGGTCCTCAGGTCATGTGCAGCAGAAGGGACCATGTATGGCTGTGGTGCTGGACAAGGGGAACTCAGCAAGGCCCTTCTTGGAGAGGAAAACAAACTTGGAGGCTGGGTGGGGTGGTGCGGGTGCTAGGGCTCTGCTTTTTGGGGGAGATGGGAGTTAGGGTCATGGTTGGGGCTGTGTGCCAGTGGTCCCACCTCTTCCATCTCTGGGCCTCCCACACTGAAACAGTTAGCCAGAGAAAGAGAAGTCATGGTCTGGGGTAGGGAAGGGCATGGAGAGCAAGGGCTGGATTCTCCCAAGGGGCCAAGGTGGTGCTGACCCAGAGGCTGCCCCAGACCCTTGCTCTCCAGCTCCCGCAGCCAGGCCACCCCTTCTCAGCACAGCCCCTTCTCCTGCCTCACCTTCCAGTCTGGACCTCTGCTCCAGCCTGTCATCCTTCCCTGTCCACCAGGATTTGACTTGATGGCAGCCTTCGGCCTGGTGGAGAAGGAGCACGCCTCTATTCGAGGTGTGGCCATGGAACCCTCAGCCTTGGGCCTGACCCCGACCTTCACACTCTTCAAGGATGCCCAGCTGACACGGCGGACTAGGTATGAGAGGCCAATGGGGCTGGAACTGCAAGTGGGGCTGTGGGAAGTCAGGTGGGCAGAGGTGGGCACAAGAAGGAGACTGACCACATCCCTGGCTCCCAGAGCCTATTGGCCCTGGCATCTCTTCATCACACTGCCGACTGGTTTCACCTGTGTGCTAGAAATTCCCATTTCACAGTCAGCAGATCTCGCGTGGAATGGGGCCTGCCCCTCAGCATGATCTGCAACCATGCATGTGTCTTTCCCCACCTGGCCTGGGGACTGGTCCCCTAGCTGCGTCCTGAACATGGTCCACGATGCTGACTGCCTTTGCCTGCCAAGTTAGCAGCTGTAGAGGGTGTGTGGTCCCCCTTTACCCCAACACCTTGAGTCACAGACCTGCACTGCAGTGGACGTGGCACGGTAAAAGCAAGAGCAGGCGCTGACTTCCCAGATCCCCAAAGGACTGACAGGGCCACGTGCCAGAAATTACTAGTAGGGTCTAACTGAGGCATGCAGGGGCACTGGGGCCCGTGGCCCTGAGCAGGTGGCCAGAAGGGCCAGGAGGCTTCTCCAGGTCCCTGCTTTCTGGGCCACACAGGTGCAGGTTGCAGCCAGCCTGGGGGCCCAGGGAAGAGGGTAGAGAGGCTGCATCAGGGTAGCACTGTCTGGAGCTGCCAGGTCCCTGGGCCCCGTGGCACAGCCGTCCACCACGGGCAGCGCAGCCTCCTGTTGCTGTGCTCGCGCTAGAGGCGTCTCCTTCAGGGGTGGGCTGTTCTTTTATCCTTTTATTTTTATTTTTGTGACTCTAGGAGTGGAACCCAGGGGTGCTCTACCACTGAGCCACATCCCCAGCCCCTTTTTGTTTGGGACAGAGTCTCACTAGGCTGCCATCAGCTTCCCAAGATTGTAGGCACATGCCACTGCACCCACTGTTTTTTTAAATAACCACATTTTATTTTAAATTTAAATATGCTTTTAAATGGATGCATGGACACATAAACCTGGTGCCTGTTGTCGGGGCACGGTGTGGTGTTTCCATTCAAGCACAGTCGTGAGGTCTTTGGGTCCGGTAGGCACTCCTGCCCCCTCACGCATTCCAACGCTCTCACCGMGTGGCGGAGGAGACAAACCTCTCTTCTCCCGTGATCGCCTGGCTCTCCTGCGGCGTGGGTGTGGTAGCCAGCACTCGCCCTCTGCCCCTAGAGCCACTGCTATAGCTGCCGCAGGAGAGAGACCACCTCACTTCCCCAGGTTGCTGAGAACGAATGGCAGGCCCCTTCTTCCCTGCGGCCATCAGCCTTTCTCTGGGTCTAATCCCATGTGTCCTTCTCCGTCCTCAGCGGGTGGACACTTGGGTGGCTCCCCTGTTGTGGGTGGTGCTACAGTGACCGTGGAGGGCAGGATCCTCACCTGCTCTGGACCTGTGGGGACAGCAGCTCCCCCTGCTGCCCCGTGGCTGTGCTCAGCACCGTCCCACCCTGTGCAGCCCCTCCCCCCAGCACTGACCTTGCTGTCTGGTAACAGCTGCTTTGCCTCAGGGCTGGCTTTGACCTGCACTTCTCAGAAGATCAGGGATGCCGGCACTTGTTCCTCTGCCTGCTGGCCATTTGTGTGTCTTCTCTCGAGCATGGTGGCTGACACCTGCCCCCTTTGGCCCCCATTTTCTTCGTAGGGTGGTGTGGAAGTGCTGCTGCAGAAGCGGTGGGCCCATTCCTCCCGTCTGGGCCTTCACTGCTGTTCTTCTGGGTGGCGGGTGGGATGCTCCCACTGCCTGGAGCCCTGGTCTCCACCCCCTGCCTCTGGCCCCACCTTGCACCAAGGTGTTGGGCATCCCAGCCACCATTCCTCAGTCACCCGTCTCAGGTGCCGGCCACCAGCCTGCAGGGCACACGGTGCTTCAGTGCTGCCTGCTCTCCTTTTTGAGCTCCAGAAGGGGACAGAGGTTTCCCAGGTGTGCTTACCCAGCACAGAAGCATCTGCACCATGGCAGCTGCACTGAGGGGTCTCAGGCTGCCCAGTTGGCGGGGTCCTTCCCGTGGTGTGGTCAGGAAGGTCCCCAAGGAGGCAGCAGACAAGAGCCACGGGCAGAGAGTGGGGGAGGGCTCAGGAGGAAGGAGCAGCAGTGCCACGGCCTTGGGGTCAGGGTGCTTAAAGCCTTGCAGGAAGTGGTGGGGCTGGGTCTGCCCAGCCCCTGGTTTTTATCCCAAGAGCACGTGAAGGCCAGGAAGGAGGCTGCAGGCTCTGGGGAGCACTTCTACTGTGTGACCAGAGGCCCTCCCCTGTCCCTCAGTGCACCTGGGTCTGCCTAGGTCCTGGCCAGGAGCCCCCWGTCTGAGCACTAGGACAGCTGTGGTCAGTGGGCCAACTCCTGAGGACAGCGCTGCCTGTGTGCCTGTGGGCTCCCGGCCCTCAGGAGTAACCTGGGGATTCTCCTGGTGGGTCTTCTGCCACACAGGGGCCCTGAAGCACAGGGCCTGGGTGAGCCCCTTCTAGGTGACCTTCACTGGCCAGGCCTCAGGGGAGGTAGAGGGCTGTGTCAGGCCAGGTGCCTTGAAGCTTCTTGGAGGGAATTCTGTCCTTTACATACCCCATGTTACTCCCGGGGACACTGAGGCAGGGGAGACCCCAGCTTGGCCTTTAGGCCATGGCCGTCTGTACCCCCAGTCTGTGTTCTGGGGTACGGACGGCTGCCACACTCCGTCCACAGCTGGGAAGGCTGTGTGTGCAGGCTCCACCATGGTCAGCAGAGCAGCGCCAGGGTGAGGCTGGGGCTGCAGGGGGCCTGTGCCTGGGAGGCCTGGTCCAAGCCCAGCCAGCCTCCATTCTGCTCACGCCCCCTCCCGTGCCCCCAGCGACATCCACCCCGTGGCCCTGCCGCCTGAGCACACCGTTGTCTTCCTGGTGCGCCTGCTCCCTGAGACGCCCCGCGAAGCCTTTGCGCTGTGGCAGATGACGGCTGAGGACTTCCGGCCCATCCTCGGGGTTCTTCTGGATGGTGACTGGGGCCCCGGGTCACCCTCGGCAGTTGGGAGGAATGGGGGCCCTGGCTTCACCCTCTCTTTAGTGCCCACCCTAAGCAAGAGCCAGGTGTCCTGAGCTTCCTCAGAGCTGCCCCCTGCCCTTCACGGGGGAGACCCGCCAGGGTCCTGGGCATGGCCTTGGGTCCTGCAGCTCTCACAGTCTGTCCTTTCCCATCATGTGGGACCAGGGTGGTTGGGTAGGACAGATGCTTACCTGCTGCTCACCTCACCCTGGCAGCTGGCAGAAGGTCGCTGACCTACTTCAACCATGACCCCAGAGCTGCCTTGCAGGTGGCCACTTTCGACCTGCAGGAGGTGAAGAAGGTCTTCTTCGGGAGCTACCACAAGGTCCTGGGAACTCTACTCAGCTCTACGGCCCCGTCCCACTTGCCAGCTGTCCCCATGTGCAGCTGCCTGCCCTGGAGCACCAGCACAAGTCCCTGAAAGTCAGGCAATGACCCACCTGGGGCCTCTGACCCTGATGCCCTTTGTTTCAGGGGCCTATTTTAATTTGGGTCAAAGTGCACTCTAGCCCTTCTCTTTGGGAGGCACCTGCTTTGGGAATTGCCCTGGAAGTCACATGGGATGTGGGTACCATCAGGACCCTGCCCAGGTCCCAGGTGGGCGACTCTTGTTCCACCTATTCTGACACCTTGGCCTGGCAGCTAGGCAGGTGCTGACCCTGCAACATCTACAGGTGCATGTGGCCGTGGGACACTCCAAGGTCAGACTGTATGTGGACTGCCAGAAGGTGGCTGAGAGGCCCATCGGAGAGGCTAGCTCACCCACCTCTGGCTTTGTCATGCTGGGGAGGCTGGCCAAGGCCAGGGGTCCCCGGAGCAGCTCAGCTACGGTGAGCCTGGTCTTTGTCCTGCTGGTCTGGTGAGGGCTGTCTCCAGGGACCTGCATCTGGCTGATGCCCCTGCTCCATAGTTCCAGCTTCAGATGCTGCAGATTGTGTGTAGTGACACCTGGGCAGATGAGGACAGGTGCTGTGAGCTTCCTGCATTGGTAGGTGGCCGTGAGGCTCTGGGTACCATCCCAGCCTTGAGTGTGTCCACCCCACACGTCACAGAGGCTCAGGTAGACAGGCCTAAGCCTGTGCTGTGGGAAATCAGGGAAAGCTTCCTGGAGGAGGTGGCCTTTGGGGACCAGGGTGGTTGGGTAGGACAGATGCTGGGGGCGGGCCAGGAAGCCCCTACTGCAGTGGTTCTGTAGGAGCCTGCTCCCCTTCTCGGGAGGCCCAGCAAGGTGCAGGCGGGCCAGGAGTCCTCATCTAGCAAGGTGGAGGTCTCCCAGGCCTGCAGGGACCCTACACCCAAAGCCACATGCAGGGCCTTTGCTGGTCCCCTCAGTGCCTGGTACTGGCCTTGTCTATTCTGGGGGCCTCGGAGGGGAGAGGGAGGAAGCTACCCACCTGCCTGGGGTCTGTATAGGCACCTGGGAGGAGGCACCCAGGACCCAGCTGCTCTTAGAGGGACTCAGTGGCCTGAGTCCAGACCCACCTTGTTGCGTTTCTGTCCCCGCCGCGCCCCACACAGAGTGTTTCCCTGGAGTCAGGCTCAGCCCCGGGGTCTGATGAGAGCCAGGAGAGGGTCCATGAATGAGCAGTCTCCTTTCTTCCAGAGGGACCGAGAGACATGCCCTGCCTTCCCTTCTGCCTGCACCTGCTCTTCAGAGACCCCCGGGCCCCCGGGGCCTCAAGGCCCTCCAGTGAGTCCAGTAGCCTCTACCCGGGGGGTGACTGAAACTGCAGGCCAGGCATAGCCCTGGGGTGTGGCTTGCCCACAGAGGGGCGCCCTTCATGGGTCGCCTCTGCTGTGTCACTCCAGGCCATGAGCCCAGCCGTGGCCAAGCCCTTTCTCCCGCTGGCTGAGCCTCCCTCCCCAAGCCCCGATCCTCCTGCCATGTCAGGCACGAACCCCTCTTCAGGCATTTCCYGAATGTCCCCTGTCTCTGGGGACCTGCTGGTGGTGGCTGGTGGGGTATGACGTGGCTAGCTGTGAGGGTCAGCCTCCAGGTGGCTCTGTTCTGGCTGCTGCCCCAGGGTTGGTGTTCAGCTCACCTGCAGGAGGCAGGCGCTCCCGTGGGGCATGGCCTGAGAGGCTCCGGACCTCTGTCAGGAGCACTTCTTCAGGACGGGGTTGGGCAGATCTAGTTGCATATGGGGCTAGGGGTGGATCCAGAGACTCCTGATCCAGCCTATGCCCAATGATGTGGACAGGGGTGCAGGGCTGGGTGGGGCTCGGGGTTGGGTGGAGCCTGGGTGGGGCTCGCGGTTGGGGTAGGACTGGGGACTCAGCCCTACTTGTGCTGTTGCAGGGCCTCCCTGGGAGGAATGGCACCCCAGGAGGACAGGGCCTCCCCGGGCCCAGGGTAAGTCTGTGAGGCCCAGGGGCTGTCTGGATCTTAACTCAGCAGCAGTTCATGTCACCCTCTCCTGTAGAGAGAGGGTTTCCTGAGCTGCAGACAGGCCCGGTCCCCAATTAGGCGGTTGGCCTGGCCTCTCCTGTCACCTATGGGCCACCTGGAGCTGATCTTGCTACATAGTGAGCATTCCCTCTTCACTGTCCCCACGGGTAGGGTCAGCTCATGGCACAGACGAGGAAGCAGACTTGGGAGGTGAGGCCCCTGCCCAGTCGGTGGGCCCAGGCCTGTCTGGCTCTGAAGGCCGCCTTCTATTTCCTTCCACAGACACTTGCCAGAGGCCTCTGGACCAAGCGGGTGTAGGTGCCGCAAGTATAGACTTGTTTGGCCCCACACACTGGTGCTGTCGCAGGCTCTGTGGGTGTCTGGCAGGGTCTGGCTCTGCAGAGGAGGCCGAAGATGGTGCCCCAGTGACAGCACCACACCCGTGTGTCCTGGGAGGCGCTCCCAGCTGGGCTCTGAGATGCCCAGTATGTTCAGTGCGCAGGGGCTGAGAGGCTGCCTCCCCCCAGCCCCACACCCTGCGTCCCACCCTGCACCTGCCTTGGCTGAGTGTCCTGGCAGGCTGGCCCGGTCCTCACAATGAGCATGTGCCACAGATGGTAGCCAGCTTGCACCAGAAGGGGGAGGTCGTGAACCTCCACGGCCCACGCCTCGCCCTGTGTACCACCAACCACGCGGGCCTGGTGCTGGAGTTGCCAGGGCAAGGGCAAGAGCACAGAGCTTGGGTATAGAAAGCCACGCTGCCCCCTGGAGGCCAGGCGAGGCGGAGCAGCCTCTGTAGAGCAGGGATGCACCCAGGGTGCCTGGCTGACACAGCGGCTGCCACCTTGCGTCCCTGTCCCTCATGTCTGCAGCAGGCAGCCTTTCCTGTGGGAAGCCTGCCCTGGCTCCAGGTGTCGCTGGCTTGTTTCTTCATGGGTGCTTCACATACTGTGCACCAGCCTCACTCTGCGAAGGAGTCACAACTGTGTTTGTCATTTGCAGTGTGTCCTTTGGCCTTGTTTGTGACAAGTGTTTTCACACAGATGTTACTTTTTTTTCTCCTTTTTTTTTTTTTTGATACTAGGGATTGAGCCCACTTTTACCACTGAGCCACACCCTAGCCCTTTTTATATTTTAAGACAGAGTCTCTCTAAGTTGCTTAGGGCCTCCTAAATTGTTGAGGCTGGCTTTGAGCTCGTCATCTTCCTGCCTCAGCCTCCCGAGCTGCTGGGATTATAGGTGTGCACCATCGTGCCTGGAACAAGTAGCATTTTTGTCATTTGACTCTTGCCCAGGAACTTGGCATCCTTCTGTGGTCCAGGTTTCTTTTGTGACTCTCCACGAGACTTTCGAGAAGTGGATTATCTGGCCTGGGCTCTARCTCACCCCAAACCTTGCATCTTTTCGTCACAGCTGTCACCAGGCCCTTCCCTCTCGCAGTGTCTGCCTGGTGGTTTCTGCAGGGCCGACATCTCTGAGCAACATTTTCCTATCCAGCTTTCTGAATGGATTGTCTGTGTGATTCTTGGTTTTCAGGTGGTTTTTCTTGACTCTCACTTCTGTTCTTGCCTAGTGGTATTGGTGAGCGCTGCAGAAGCCCACCCAGTGGTGTGCAGGTGTCTCAGCTTCCTCCTGGCGCTGGGGGACCCAGGGCTGCATAGTCCAGTGGAGGGTGCATGTGAAAGCCCGCATGTATTTTTTCATGTGATAGTAAAGTCCATTTACTCAAATTTATTGTGAGATTTGAAAATCAAGAGTGGCCATGAGATACTATGTGGTGCTTGTGCAGTAGTCATAGGCACTGTCAGATACTTTTCTCCGGGAGATGTGTGCTGTTTGTTTTGTGATGTTGCTAGATGAAGCCAGCTGGGCTCTGGGTCCTCACCACCAGCTTATGTTCTCTCTCTGACCCTGTGTTTACTTTTGTGCATTGATACTCATGACAAGACCATGCAGTCTGCTTAGTAGAATGTGGAACATTCATATGCTGATTCAAAAAGTAATTTGAAAGGGTGCCCCTGCCCATTGGGGCCACTTGTCCAAGATGGGACTCCCGGACCAGAGGGCCCCTGAGGGGTTCAGAGCCTGGGCAGGTCTCCCACCTCTCCTTTGCAGTTGGCTGCTGTGCTCTCTGGCTTCGCCCTGGTGATGTGGTTGGCTGTTGTGATTGGCTTCAGGCTCCAGCTGCCTGGGTGGGGAGGCCAGGGAGCAGGTGCACAGAACTGGCTTGGCTCCCCTCTGTGTGTCTGCGGTCCTGGAGAAGTGACCTCCGCGGTTTGCGCTTGTAGACAGGGCTGTACGGGGACCCACCCAGGAGAGCATGAGGGCATCAGGGTGCTTCTGACCCTCTAGTGGAGGGGCCTGTGTGGCCTGGGTCTGGGCTGGTCAGGAAGCATGCCTTCTCAGCCCAAGCCCCCTGCTGTGTTTCCAGGGAGAGCCAGGGCCACCCGGACAGACAGGACCTGAGGGCCCTGGAGGTCAGCAGGGGTCACCAGGGACCCAGGGCCGCACAGTCCAGGGACCTGTGGTAGGTGTACCCCACCCCCACCCACCTCCCCTCCACCCTTCCTCTCTGCTACCCAGTTCACCTTCCCCTCCAGGGTCCACCAGGGTCAAAAGGAGAGAAGGGAGACCAGGGACTCCCAGGCTTACAGGTAGATGGGCTGGGCTGTGGCTGGGCAGGGCCTTGGGCTGACCTCCTCCTCTGGGTATAACCTTTGCCCCTGCCTGGCCGGCCACCTCTGTTCCCTTCCAGGGCTACCCTGGCCAGCCAGGCACCCCTGGGAGAGTTGGCCTCCAGGGACCAAAGGTACTTGTTCTGGGCCGGAAGGTGTGTGCACTGGGAGAGAAGAGAGCCTGGGAAGGTCTTGGAGATGGAGGCTGGGGTGCAGGGACGGGAGGGAGGGGCTCCAGCCCATACCAGGGTCAGGTGGGGGCAGCAGCTTGCGCTCACTCTGGTGCAGGTRCGAGTCCCGCTGCCTTGGTGAGGCTCACCTGGTGTGCAGGCTGCTGCTGCTGCTGCTGTGGGGCTGTTCCTATGGGAGGAGGTGTGGGCACAAGCCACACCCCAGCTCACCCTGCCTTTGCCCCTCAGGGAATGAGAGGACTAGAGGGACCTGCTGGCCAGCCTGGCCCCCCTGGCCCCAGGGTAGGTGTCACCTCCTCCACAAGCCCTCACCCAGAATGCTGAGGTCCTGGGAGCTGGGCAGGGCCAGTTTGGGAAGAAGGGATTGAACACTTCTGGCTCCTGACCAGGCCAACCCAAGAGGTGACCTGGAGGGGGCCTCTCTCCTGCACTGGAGCAGCCACCACAGGGGTCTTCCTTACCTGTGGCAGAGATGCAGACCCAACGCCACAGGACAGGGGTCGCCAGGACTCCAGGTTGGGCCTGCTAGGGATGGGTAGGCTAGGCTGGCTGTAGGGACCGGCCCCAGGCCCCCTGTCCTCTGGGCAGACTTCTCCAGCAGCCAGATCAGCAGAGGCAACCTGGGGCTCCCTCGCCTGGAAAGGACTTCTCTCCTGGGTCGGACCTCCCAGTGAACTCAGGGCCTGGGAGACCCCTGAGGGGCAGTCTAGGCTAGCTGCTGAAACACTGCTGGGCTCTCCCACCAGGACCCCCTCTGTGGAGTGGTTGTCCCCCAGTTTCTGGAGTCCATCAGGGAACTGATAGACAGCTGGGTGAGGGGCACGGGGGTCTGCCTGGGCATGAGGTGAGGTTTTCCTGGGTGCCAGGTTGGGGGCAAAACTGGGCCAGTTAGGGGAAGTGTCGAAACTTGAGGGCAGGGGGGTGGAGCTAAGGGCTATGGCCTCTACCAGGCAGTGGGGCTGGGGGCACCGTTGTTTGGGAGCCAGGACAGAGGTGGGCAGATTCACTGGGGGTGCCCGCCAAACCCTGTCTTCTGCATCTCTGCAGGGCTTCCAGGGCTTGGTAGGGGCCAGGGGCACCAACGGGGAACGAGGGCCTCCAGGAGCCGTGGGGCCTACCGTAAGTTCCCACCACCCGCCAGTCAGCTGAGGGGGCTCACGCACAGCCTGTCCAGGTGTCCCAGCTCAGGACTTCCTGTGGGAGGCTGGCCTGCTCCTCACTTGGAGCCTGTGTGGAGCCAGTGGAGCTGGGCTGGTTCTGCCCTTCCCTGGCCTTGGGGCCACACTCGGGGAGAGGAGAACAGAGCAGCAGCCCTCTCTCAGGGGGCCCTCACCCCTGGGGAGCTGCTGAGGCCCACCTTATCTGGAGGCTGAGGCAGCCCCACAGGCCCCTTGGGAGGGCTCCGGGGCCTGGTGAGCTGGGGGAAGAGGGTGGTAGGCAGGAGCTCCAGCTCAGGCCTGCTCCAGCAGCTTCCGGTTGTTAGGGCCCCATCCCCAGCACTAAGGCCACAGCCAGGGCAGGTCCTTTGCAGCACAGTTCCAGCCCACTTGAGGACCGTCCCGCTGTAGGACAAAAAGCCCAGTTGCCTTCCCTGTGTGGCCGCTCCCAGGGTCTGGGGATTCAGCTCGGGGCCACAGTGCCCAGGCACTGTCTGCACGTGTGGCACCAAGCTGCTTTCCTCTCCTGACTGCCTGTTCCCTCTGCGCCTCCTGCTGCAGGGGTTGCCCGGGCCCAAAGGGGAGCCAGGAGAGAAGGTGGGTGAGGCTGAAAGCCCGGGGTCTTCAGCTCAGCTCCTGCTATTGGGCCTTCCTGGGCGGCACTAGTTGGGGTCCCAAAGCCATGTCTTCCTTCCAGGGCGAGCCTCAGTCCCTGGCCACCATCTTCCAGCTGGTGAGCCAGGCCTGTGAGTCGGCCATCCAGGGTGAGTGAGCCCTACCACCCGTCCTCACCTCACCCCCTACTCATGGCCTGCCCCACCCTCCTCCCCAGCTCCCCCTCATGGTCTGCCCCCCTCCCCAGCACATGTGCTGAGACTGCAGTCCTCCTTCCATGGAAGCACCAGGCCCCCGATGCCCATCTTGGTGGAGGCCGTGAAGCCAGGAGGGCATGGCCCCCCAGGGTCACCCAACACGCTCAGCAAAGCCCTGCTTCCTGGAGAACAGGGGCGTGGGGGACACCACACTGAGGGCCGAGGTACTAGGTTCCCAGCCCTGAGGTAAAGTCAGGGCTGGTCCCTGGTTCTGGGGGTTTGTGCCTCTGGGGGTCTCCCCTTTGTGAGGAGTTGGCTGAATTCTGCCCTTGAACCTGACGATGTCTCAGGGAACTGGGGGGAGCCACAGGTCCCATCTTTCCCAGGAGCTCTGAGGTCCCTCTGCTCTGGCCACAAGATACCCCATTTAGGGCTCAGGGACCCACGGTGCTGCTTGCCTGAGCTTTCAGCACTAGCCTGGACCTGCTGCCCTGCCCAGGGAGGCACCCATCTTCCCTTCCACACAGAACCGTGCCATGACCCACACCCCCCTCCCACCGCTCTCACCCACCTCCCCAGCACTCCTCCCCATGTCCAGGAGCCCTCCCATGGCTACCTCAACCCTTGCTCCTGGCCCATCCCTTCCTCTCAGGTGAGCCCTCAGCCCATGGTCAGATGGGCAGCCCTGGGCTGCAGGGGAACCAGCCTCCAGGTCCCCTGGAAGGCACAGGTGAGCCTGGGTCACAGCACTGGCCAGGGACACATCAGGATGGCAGGCAGTGGGGTGAGGGGCACTTGGAAGGTGGGGTGGCCACCTGGGGGGCAGGAGCACTGGGCCCTACCACCAAGGTTGATGGTGATGCTCCTGGAGTGGGAGCTGAGCACAGGCCACAGCGCAGGCAGGGGTGGGCCTCAGGAGGGGAGGCAGGGCCAACCTTGACCCCAGAGTTGGGGCAACAGGGGTGGGGGAGCCACAGAGTGCTAATTGGAGTAGCAGGAATGAGTGGAGCCCTGGGCCTGGGAGGAGCCAGCAGTGGGAGTGGGTGGAGCTGTGGACTTAGGACGAGCCAACAGTGGGATTGGGTGGAGCTGTGGGCCTGGGAGGAGCCAGCAGTGGGGATGGGTGGAGCTGTGAGCCTGGGAGGAGCCAGCAGTGGGAGTGGGTGGAGCTGTGGGCCTGGGAGGAGCCAGCAGTGGGGGTGGGTGGAGCTGTGGGCCTGGGAGGAGCCAGCAGTGGGGGTGGGTGGAGCTGTG